GAATAAAATAGTATATTAGAGCGCTTTAATAGGATTTTGCAAGAGTGCTTCACTACCGTTTTAGAGGATAGCGGTTTTAACTGTTATTTATAGCCGATCCTTTTCTAAACAATTATTTATTTAAAGAATAGGTATTTACATAAGGTTATTAATAAAATGCTATTTAAAATATAGAACGGCTATAAATTTAATCTATTATATTTAAAATTTATTAGTACCCTTTATTATTATAAATTACCCGATGTAGACTTCTTAAGGAAGTTAATACTTATAGCCGGCCGAAGTAAGTTACTAGGTTACGAAGGTTTATTAAATTATATTATTTTTATAAATAAAAATAAGGTTATTTTAATTAATAATAAAATTATTAATAAAATGTATATTCATATTTCGCTAAACCTTCTCCCGGAATTAGTAGTTAATTTACCTTCTTTTATTTACGCGCCAGAGTTTAATTTTTGTATTTCTTTTATAGATTTAAACGCTTCTTTTCCTAATTTATTTAATTTAGTATAGGGCTATTTAGGAATAAATTTAAATAAACCCCTCGTAAATTTCTCTTTAATACCCCTGAGGCCTCCTATATAAATAATATTTATATTTACCCCGCTACTACTTTTATTAGCGTTCTTACTATTAGTTTATTTATTTTTTATTTTTTTATTTAGAAAGGGTTTTAAATTTAGAGAAAATTCTATTAATATAGTTAGAGGGAAATTCTAATACGCTTACGCTATTGTTACCATTATTTTAATTATCTTTCTTTCTATTATTTTTGGACCGGTTATCTTAATTTCCATTTTGATTATTTTAGCCGTCTTTATTAGAATTGTCCTTATTAGAGCCCTCTTTACTAGAACTATTTATATTAATATTTAATACTATTTATATCGGCGGCGACCTAGGTTTTTTCGACCCTAATTATTAATGTAGTATTATTAATCGTTACTTTAAATTATACCCCCCGGTTCCTACTATTTTCGAAAAATAATAATTAGTATTAAAAAATATTAATAAGTATATTAATATCGATTTATTAGCCTTTATTACTCTTATTACCCTATTTGCCCCCGAATTTAAAAATTATTAAAAGGTTATAAAACGATTAGATTAATAATATTAGTAAGCTACTATATAAGTAGAATATTAATTATTCGTCGAGAACCAAATCTAAATTTTCGTCTTTAATAATATTAGCCGTCGGCTTTTAATTAGAAAGTAAGTTTATAAGTTTAAAATTAGTTTTAATAGTAAAGTCCTTTATTATAAGGTTTATTAGGTAATTTATAGCTTTAAATAGCGGGAAGGGATTAATTATAATAAAATATTCGCTTCGGTTATAAGATTTATAAATTATAAATTTATTTTCGCCTTCGCTGTTACTTTTAATTTAGAATTGGAATAAATAGACGTTTAAATTACTTTTTTCTATAATTTAATTAAGGAAGAAATCTACGTAGAATAACCTCTCAGTATTATTAATAGTAATAAAATTTTAATATATAAATTAAATTAGGCTTTCCATAGTTTAAAATAGAATTTACGTATTTAATATAATATATTTACTACCTTCCTCTATAGCTTCGCTTCTATTCTACTACCTATTGATAATGTTATTTTTTATAAAGGTACTACCTATATCGCTATTTATATCGACAATTTATTTATTACCGGCCTATTTAAATCCGACATTTAAACTTTAAAAAATACCCTTAGCGAACGATTTAAAATAATTAATATAAATCGATATTCGTATTATTTAAATATAGTTATAATCCGTAATAAGTTAAATTATACTTTTAAATTTAATTAAAAGGCCTATTTCGAAAAAGTACTTAATAATTTCGGTATATTAAATTATAGTATTATCTTTACCCCTATAAATATTTATAAACATTTTAAGCCTACCGACGATTTTAAAATTTCTAATACTAATAAATATTAGTACGTTAATACTATCGGTTCCTTTATATACGTAATATTCAATATACGTCCGAATATTATTTTCGTAATATCTTTTTATAGTTAATATTTCGCTAAATTAACTTTAAGTTATATATTAGCCGTAAAACGTATTTATAAATACCTTTGTAGTATTTTTACTTTTTATTTTATTTATTGTAGCTTATCTTCTATTATTTTTATTAATTATTTAAATACCGATTAGGGCGGCGATACCTTTATTAAACAGATTATAAATAGTTATATATTTTATATTAGTAGTGTAGCTATTATTTAATAATTTAAACGTTAATAAATTATCGCCTTATTACTTTATAAAATAGAAGTTATAATATAAATATAAGTAGTTAAAGAGGCGATTTAATTTAGGAGATTACTATTAGATTTATTTTTTATAATTAATTTCATTATTATTATCCGTTATAATAATTAGGATACTATAATTCTAATGAAGAATTTATAATACTATTCCTATACGAAGTATATTAGTATTTAAGAAATATAGTATGGGGAAGCGTAAATTATTAGGAGTGTAAATTTCTAATATATAATTATTAAAGAATAAGTTATTAATATTTTTATAAAGGTTCTATTTTAAAGTATCTTTAAATAGTACCGTTAGGCGTTAAGGTTATTAGAACCTTCTACCCTATCATTACTATTAAAGACCTATTAATATTTTTGTAATATTTAACCAGTTATTTCCCCGTATATATATATTTACTAGACCTTCTATACCTGATAGTTAGTTACTATATTGCTATTTTATCTTTTATTACTTTTATATTAAGTTAATCTTTTAGTTATAAATCCTATTCCCCCTAGTTAGGTGTATATATATAAATCGACAGCTTAAGTCGCAATTTTCTAATTTCTACGAAATTCCCTAGTATAGGAAATTTTAAAAATCGATTTACGGCTATCTTAATACCTTTTAGCTTTCGTACGGCCTTATAAGTATATTTATTTTGACTGTTATATTAAGACGAATCGATTGGTATTGCTTGTATAGTTTTACGACCTCTATATTAAAAGTTCTTGCATTTTTTATCTTTTATTTACTTTTTTATTTTCGTTTTTAAAATTTATTATACTTGTTATTATATTACCATCCTTATGTCAACCCTTACGGCGGCAATCCTTTTTCCTATTGGGTCTTATTAGTGCTGACTGTGTTGGGCGAGAGAGAAATACTTGTAAATAACCTTACTTTTGCCGTTTTCGGCCTTTTTCTACTTATTATTTTATTATAGGGCAATCTATATTTGGATTGAAAGGGAGTATTGAAGTTATTACTAATTCTTGGTATTTTTGGTATAAGTGGATACGATCTATATATATTTACCCTATATATAAGTCGGACCTTGTCTTCCTTTTCCTTTTGCTCTTTCTCTCTCTTTAATTAATTAAGATATTTACTACTACATCCGTCGTCTTACGTGATCACCTCCTCCGTATGGTTCAATAAGGTCCTGGCGCGATGTCCTTTGATTTGATTTATAACCAGCCGCTGGCTAGGTACCATCTATGTGCTACACTAATGTATTTTCTACAAATGTCCAACGCTGGTCTCCATTAATATTCACGCTATATAAATCTAATGCTGGTTTGTTTGTTAGTTCGGTACTCCTAGTCTTTTGGACGAGATCTATCCCGAATTTTCCTAAACCTTATAAGGACGTATTAAAGTAATTAAAGAGTAAACCTCGGCACACCTACCCTAAACCTATATATACCCAAAAAATCCCTAGACTAGCTGTTATATAAACTATCGTATTTTAGCCGTATTCTTACGCGTTTTGAATGTCTATCACCTTAGTCATTTTGTTGATTGGGTTACCTAACTATATAATTCCCTATAACTTATTCAAATTTGGTGATATTTTAATAGTATTTAGTATAAAATGCTATAGATTAACCGCTTTATTCGCTGCGCTAGTCATTAAATTTAAAATTATTATTAAGGGACGAAAGTTTAAAGGATATTTTAATGGGCGCCTCTCCTTGCCGTACCTCCTCTTCCCATAAATTAATTAATTTAAGTAAGATTATATATGTTGAGGGTAGTTATAGGGGTGGGTATTGAGTGGTGTGTGTGCGACGTATAAATGTATTGTGTAAAAGGGGTGTAAATAACTATATTAAAAAAAGTATAAAAAATTTGATTAAGTTTTAGAGTTCGTTAGTGGTAATGTTAGCGTGTATTGAGAAGACGAAATTTAGTACGTAAAAATGAGCTTTACAATATTAAGTATTATCAACTGTACAGGGCCTACTCTTTTTAGAATTTGAGTGTATGTAGGTTTGGGGTAGGTGTGCCGAGGTTTACTCTAATTAAATACGGATCGGAAATGCTTAGGTACGGATCCGCAAGGTATTAACAAGATTTAACATGTTATATTCAACATCGAAATTAGCACAGAGGTATTCAAAATGAATCAGGCTTTAATCATACAACGAAACACATGAATTATATGTAAAAACGCCTAAGGGAAGTTGACCCGAGGTCTCGAGCTAACAAACAAACCAGTATTGGACTGTACGACTGATAACCTATGCCAAATATCCCAGTCTCTCGCTAAACACAGAATTTGTACCCCTACGATCTCGCTTGAACCATATGTTTCATGCCCTCTCATCCCATTAGTCCTGGCTCCATTATCTTCCCCTACCTAAGGTTCATCCAACTCGCTCTGTTCTCCGTCTTCTGCCCGTGCACGCTCCGCTTCCGTGATTGCAAGATCCCATTCCTCGATCAGCGTCCGGGCTTCTGCTATCTCTTCCTCAATTCGATCGAGATCTTTATCGTCAAGCTGAAACTTGCCCATTGTCTCCTTATCCGCTGCTATGTTGATCATTTCAAGCACTAGTTCCTTTTTGACCGCAGCCGGCTGTTTCTCTTCGTAACCGTCAACCATAGAGGTAAGCAGCTCTTTTGCCCTACCAAAAGGACTAATTCCATCTTCACCCAAATGAAAGGGGTTAACTTGTTTTGTGGCAAGCAGGAGCTTTATACATTCCAGGGTTTCGCTGCCCGGGACTTCATGGTTTCTCTCCAGCGCCCATCGTAATGGTGTTCGGCCGTTGTTGTCCGGTGTATCTAGAGCTATTTGAGGGAGCTTTGCAAGAAGTAGACGCAGAACGTACACGCTACAAACACTTTTTGCAGCAGCTGCGTGAGATACGATAGTCCGGCCTTCACTGTCTGGCATATTTAGATGCTGAAGAGCGGACTCTGAGTAGCGGCTCAAAAAGACCTCAACGGTCCTTATATCGGCCCCGATGGCTGCCCGGGTAAGTGGAGACCGGGAGGCATTATCTGGTAGATTGATGTCAATGTTAGGAAACGTGTCCAACAATAGCTGGACCACGTGACTAGCGACGAATGCTTTGCTATCTCCTGCTGCCAGAGACAAAGCTGTCCTGCCCTTTCTGTCCCGGATGTTAATATCGAAATGAGGGGTAAGGGATTGAATCGAGCAATCCAAATCACCTGGAGTGTGGCTGCTGCTGTTCTCCAGGGTTGATCCAACGGAGCATCTTAATGATGGGAGCTTGAGCTTGACTTGTTGCACTGAGCAGATGGCTTTCAACACCCCAATCATGTTCCAATGCCTGAGAAGCTCACGATGCACCGCGGTATGCACTGCAGTCCAGCCCTCTTCATCTTGGACGTTTGGATCGGCCCCGTAAGCTAAAAGCACTTCCATGGCTTCTGCAGTACGCGCCCAGAAAATGACGGTACAGCCGGTTCTTTGTATGAAGCGACTTTCGAAGCCGCTGTCACTGGTGTCCCCTGGCCAGCAGCTGGTCCTTTTGAAGCGACTTTTGAAGCGCCTGCAGCTGGTCCTTGTGAAGTCCGGAAATGCGGAGTGGCTGTCCCATTGGAATAAGACTTCTGTCAAGCGAGTGTTTACAATGCTTTTGATCTTTGTAGGACAAGGTCTTGCTACGGTCTTGAAGTCTTTCGGGCTTGCTTGGCACTCGCAGTGTCGTGAACCAACTTGTACAAGGAAGCTCTCCAGAAGGGGCCCATGACCAAACGCTGCGAGTTTTGCAGCTGTGACAGCATCCGCTTCCTCAACCTTGAGCTGGACAGGTTTGCCCACAAAATGGCACATTCCGTCAAGCAAATAGCCGACTTCTTGAGAAGTAAGATGAGATGAAGGGCTTACATCCGTAGCGTTGACCAGGTGTCGAAGTGACTCAATATTGCGATACTCAGCTGCGACCATCCAAGGATATCTCCAGCCTCCGCAACTAACCCTGAATTGCTTGTGAAGTTCCGGATGATCTCGGAGCAAGTGATGGGCGTCGAACTGTGCGAGAAGGTAGAGGATAGAGGGCACAGTCTGGAATATCTTAAATCCGTAGTGCTTTTCCTTGTCGCCCAAGGCATTATAGAGGCAGGTCCACTCACGGGTTGGAAAGTTTTCCAAAAAGGCCGTTTGCGAGATACCTCCGCGATAGGCCTGATCAGAATGACCTAAAACATTCGTCACAGCATAGTAAAGGAAAGAGTAGTTTCTGATGTCGAGTTTCAACATGTGGTCTGCTGATGAGTTGAGAGATCCTGAAGGATCGTCTGAGAATATTGTCGAGTACGCTGCCAGGATATGCCCAAGCAAACCTGTTTAAGCGTTTCGTGAATGTCTCCGGGATTGCCAAAATTAAAGCCTTTGATTCTCGACAGAAGATCGGATCTACCGCTTTTGCCCAACAAGAAGTCTCCAACAGACTCATGTATGAACTAAACAGGAGCAGTGGAGGAACTGGTTACCTCTGCAAGTCCTTTGGAGACACTGTCCACGTAGTGCTGTAGATCTTCAATAGACATTTCATCCTCGCGGGCAGTTACCCGAGTAGAACCACGTGGATCAACTGCTTTGGTATGTCTACTGGAGTATGAGTTGGCACTGGGCTGGATGGCCGTATATAACTCCAAGGGTTTGAGTGGGCGTATTGAGCAAAGAATCCATTGGAGGCAACGAAGTAGCTCTTGTATATCATCTTCATCCCGAGTCAAGATGGAATGGAAAAGAGCGTCCAGACCCGGGGGGATTTCATCAAGACGCTTCCTCAACGCTGAGATCTTCCCCCTGGCGTACTCCCGGTTGAGAATCGGGATGACCAATACAACCCAGAGGAAAATGCCGGAAGACATTGCCTGCAGTTTGCTTTGAATTTCCGATTTGTGAATTGAATCCCCCAGTCGAAGTCTGGCTGCGATGTACTTGGAAATATCAAGTGCATGATGTTCTTCCTTTTCCAGCACAAGCTCAATGGCCTTCTTCGGAACGACTGTCGGATAGTGCCGTGATGCGAAACAGACCCTGAAGGGCAGTCCCTTGGATAGCATAGACTGATCCAGGTCTTCGAAGAAAGAGACCATCTGTTCAACCTCTGAATCCTGACACTCATCTAGGGCATCTATTCAACATTCGACGGGATGTTGTTTTGCCACGAGTTCCACGGCGTTTGTGATTGTCTCGGTAAGAAATCCGATCTTCCATCCGTTGGCCGCAATATAGGAGCGGCCTACATTGTCAATATGGTCCATTGCTTTCCAGACCTCCTCGCGGCCGTCAAGCAAGAGGAATAGAAGTGTTCGATAGCAACCAAGGGTCGACCTCTCTAGCTCCGCGCCTCTGGCGTTAAAGAAGAAGGAAATAACCGTGCAGTCCGATTGACGGGAATGGATGGAGTATAAATACTTCATCAACGTCGATTTTCCTGTACCCGGCTTTCCCTTAATCCAAAGAAAACCTGAGTCACACAACCCCTCATTGCCCCTTTTCCATTTGGTATACTGTGGGTTGTCCAGAAACCACTGGCATGTTTGCATGAAAGCGGGTTGTATGTCATGCATTCTGGCTCCAAGCTCATCGAATTTGAGCATATCAAACAATTTTTTCTTGGTTTCCAGGTCAATTTTCTTATTCTTGGCTTCCAGGTATTTCATTTCTTTCATGATTGCCAGGTCAATATTAGGTTCGCCCTCCGGGTGAATGTCCATCTGGCACTCTGTATCCAATGATGATGGAGAGGTATCGGACGATGCGTATATTGTGGCGGGCGCGTGAAGCGTTGTGTTTACCGACCGAAGGATTTGTTCTTGCCCAGCTGATAACAGATTTTTATCGTGCAACGTCTTCTTGCCAGGTGTCAGGTGTGTGTATTCAGACAATACATCTTCAACGTTGATCTGCAACTGTTGCCGAGTGGAAGCACCTGAAGGTTGTTCAGACGGAGAAGGGGTTGCCTGGGCGCATCTTGTGGGGTGAGGCCCTTTACTTGATGACCCTGAGAATCCAGTAGGTGGCGAAGGGGTTGAGCGAACGCGAAGCCCACGAGTATCGTCAGTGGCGAAGATCCGCTGAAAGGCTGCCGCAACCTTGAGATAGCCTGGATCCTCCAGCCCATGGAAACGACACATGTCCATATGGTTATCACTGATGTGCTGAATGGTCTCGGCTACAGGCGGGCCGAGGTAAGACGAACTATCTTCGACCACCTAAGAGAAATAGATTAGCTTCGTAAAAGAAGATGATGATGCATAATGACAGCTGGGAAAAGCATGGGGACAATTGGGAAAAGCATGGGGACAGCTGGGATTCTGGGAAAGCAAACCTTTTTACCAAAAAGGAGGCCAACGCCGGTTTCTTCTTGGAATGAGTAGACGGTCCACTTTGCTTCCCATGCTAGCATCTTGAAGTCGTCGACGTCGGTTGCTCTCCCGATGGTTGGAAGCAGAGTGTCCATGATGTGCCTGTTAACGTTCATCCCAATCCCGATGGCAGAAGCTGAGATGACGCGGTGCAAGCCGCTCCGAGGATCGGCACCTCGATGAGGGGTGCCGAAGAACATGACTGAAATGGTAGAGAGAAAGAGAGCGTGGTGGTGAGGGTGGGTAGCTTGACAATGGCTGGCTTGTTTAAGAGCGTCCCTAACAACCACACCGCCCAAGCTGTGGGCGACAAACACCAATGGACGGGATTCTTCCTGAAATGACCTTCTTTGGGCCTCCAACCCGCATAACAAGTCCCACGCATGATCTTGAACCGTGTTTCTACTTATCTGCCCCTGGAGGAAGTGACGAATTTTGGTGTCGTATCCGTACGTGAAGATCCTAGCGGTCGGCACAGTGGCTGGGAGCAGATCTTGCGGCCAGAAAACGGCACCGCTAGGTCTCCCTCGGTTAGTCTTGGTCCGTTTCTTGACTTTTGCGGCATCGAGCGTCCAGGTCGACTTGGGACGGCCGGTAAACCCGTGCACAAAGACGATACTATATGCAGCATTTGGTTAGCACTTAGGTCCGTATTGACAAGGGCACAGGAGCAGCAACAAGATCAAGAGGTGCTTGACATACTCCACTTCTGTATTGGTTGGTTCATAAAGAACAGTTATACCACGATCATAAACCATCTTGGTTCAGTGGCCCAACGCATGCGGGTAGCGGTAGGGGTTGGGAGTCCAATGACACTGAGTACAATACGCCCCTGGAAAGTGTGTTAGCTCACCACCTCTGCTCAATTTTGCTGGATGTTTCTTACGTTCAGTAATGTCTTGATCATGATAAGGCCTAATTTCACTGCGAGTGTGGCGACTCACACACTGATGAAGTGACGATGTATCCTCGGTCGACAATTAGACGGTTCAAGGTGTCCTTACTGTCCTCAGGGCGAGATGTGATACTGGATGGGTCTCATTCGAAATACGAAGCGAACAAACACACCAACATTGGTCTGTGAAGATCCTAGGGCACGTGCCGAAACAGTGAGACCCGACTTCTCGCGCTGAGGTATTGCTGTGTCCCAGCGACGATAATATCGAGATGAGATACGCCGATGCGAAAAGGTTGCTCCTGAAAACCGCGAACCTTCCCCGCCTTCCACGAAATGTCCCAGCCTGATTGAAGCGTGCCCGAAAGGGAGCCTGACATGTAAGCGATCTGCATCACGCTCTTTGAGGATTAGTTTGTAGAGGCTTAACTCCCGACGATTGGAAGGTATCCGACAGGCCGCCACATGTGGGCGTGTGGCGCAGACGTGTAGATGTAGATGTAACCTCAACGACTCGGCTGTGAGAAGCGCAATCGAGACGGGATGCCGCGACAGGAACATGAGGAAGCAGATGTAGTGTGTGGAAGCGGGCACCATCTTCGAGGGAAGACTGTAGGAACATCCCATGAGCATGCCAATTCGAATAGTCGGAGGTGTTCGGGTCGGCGGCCGGTTGGAAGCACTCATGCGAAGAAACTTGATGATGATGACGGAAATGGTTGCAGAGATTTGGGCGAGCGCCAACTTTCTGTCGCCGAAATCGTGCGTGCTGGCAAGTGGCCTGGTAGGGGACGAGCCCGAGACCCGATATCAGCTACAGTTCTCAAGCCAAGAAGTCAGCTCCTTCCATCGACAAGGGAAACTCAGCGAGACAGCATAGAGGTAGGTAGCGAAGGAAAGAACATACCTCGAGCCTGAAGTTGGCAGTGTCGCCGTGTCCAACCGGTAAGCCGCGACCAGAATCCGCACACCAGCTTCAACTTCCTTGATAGGGAATTCCTTGTGAAGTGGAAGTTACACCGTACGAGATCCTGTGAGATGTTAGAAGGGGTACCCGACCGGAGTCATGGCGAGAATACAGGGAACCATTGGTCCAAACCAGATCCATAGGTAACACATAAACCCATAACATGCAATTACTACAAGATCTCCTTACAACTTCTTCGAGTCTTCATCCATCATTAACCCGTCAAATCATTCCCGATCCACCCCAACGTCCACTTATCTAACCAAGACAAACCCAAGCAGATCCCTCCCCCTTGACTCCTATCTCTCACCCTCACGCTCTACCTTCACCTCCCCTAGAAATTATAATACCTAGGCTCATCAAAAACATGATATTGATGCCCCCTAACACCCTCTCCCCTAAATAACGCCGGGAACCTCCACCCCTCCGGCACATCCTGTTCCTCCACTCTCCTATCCCTCTCTTCCTCACTCGCCGCCAAGACCCTGCCCTTATCCCCCTCATCTTTGGGCACCACGAACTTGGCGACCTGCAACTCCGTATCTGTAATGGTTGACCTGCTCACGCGGGCGTAGCCCGTGCGGCGGAGGTTCTTGTAAAGGATATATTCGCACCATCGGTCCCAGTCTGTGTAATCCACGTCGTGCATGCCTGAGACGTCGGAGACGTACGTGTTATAGTTTCCTTCCAGGGGCTTGGTGACAAGGTAAGAGAGCAGAACGGCGGGCCGGTCGGCGGGGATAGAGCCCATGAGCTTAGCAAGGTATTCGGATTGGAGACGGCGGTCCTCGGGGTCTTCTTCTTGACCGGAGTGGAAAACGAAGACGTCCACTAGGGAGCCGTAGACATCGAGTGTGGCGTGAATCGCGGGGGCCAGCTCGCCCACGGGGGAGGGAAGCAAATGGTGGGTGGAGTTGAGAATGGGGAACTTGGAGAGCAAAGCGGCGCCCCACGTGTGCTTGTTGGGACCCGGGCCGTAGTCGACGTACATGCCGAGATCTTCGGCGAGGAACTGGGTGGTGTCGCGGTTACCCATAATGATGCGCTGGAGATCAGATTCCAAAAGACCGATGACGTCGACTTCCAATTCCTTGATGAGGTCGCGCATGCGGTACTCAGAAGACCACATATCGTTGTCGAGCGAGAAGTGAATAGTCCAAATGCCGGCCGTGAAGAGGCGGTCGTCAGCATGGTGAGGCTTGTAGTCATACGAAGGGAAGCGGAGGAAGTTGGCGACGAGGAAAAGGATGTTGAGGAGGCCGAGGATACCAACGTGGTACTTGCGGTGGCCGAACGAAGAGTTGCGACGGTCGGTGGTCGCAGCGTACTTGCGGTTCGCTTGTCCGGAGATAAGGTCAAAAACACCGGCGCCGATAGTGAGCATGGTAGCGATCATGATCCAATCGGTGTGCTCGCGGACGTAGGGGCCACCAGGGACGAAAGCGTAGGCGACAACCCAAACGTGGAAGAGTACAAGGAGGTTGTAGAACAGGAAGCCGACACCAAAAGTGACAGCTGGGCTCTTCTTGGCAGCCTTGCTGATCAAGGGCACGGCGATGGCCATGAGGTAGGTGGTCAGGATCAAGGCGCCATAGTAGCCGAACCACTGCTCATACAAGGTGAGCATAGCAGCACCAACGCAGGCAACACCGTATGCGGTCCAGTTGGTAACCATGCCAGGCCTGAAGACACCAATGAGGAGACCACTGGTCATGGCAGCAATGGTGTAGTAGGCATGGACGTTGGAGACGGGGCCACGGACAGGGAAGCCACCCCAAACCCAGAGGATCATGGTGCTGGTATCCGAGAGCAGGGAGTGAATAGCGAAGAAGAGACCACCAATGCCAAAGGCGGAGAGGAGCGAAGAGCCATTCTTCTGCTCGTTAATGTCCCAGCTGTTAAGGGGAGCCTTGCGAGTGAACCTGAGCACAGCCAAGACGGCAAGAACAAGACCGGTACCGTTCCACCCACCGTTCTCGGCGTGCATGACGGGCCAGATTGGGTTGTTGGTGTACCACGCAAACTTGGCAACAGAGGACATGAGAAGACCAGCGAGCCAGGCAACGACGCGGCTCTCGAGTCTGGAAGGGTGCACAGAGTCAGAAGACCAAGTAGCAGCCCAGGCAAGGCAGCCCATAAAGACACCGAAACCGACGGTGAAGAGGCGATAGACAGGGTCGTGAATCTTGTAGGCCACCAACCCAGCAAGCGAGAGGACATGGAAGAGGCGTTGGTTGTTGACAACCAGAGAGCGCAAAGGCCGAATGCCGAGGAATATGGGGGCAATGGTGGTCATGACGAGGGCTTCATAGCCAGAGATGCCCATGTGCCAGAGAGGGAAGTCTACAAAGATCAGTATGCTTGGCTGAGCAGGGAGATTTGAACCTTGACTTACACCAAATGACAAGACCCAAGCTGGTCAGGGTAGACCAGAAGACGAACTACAACCATGTCAGACAGAACTCCTTCAAGGCTTGTGGTATATGGTATTGTACGTACGCCATGGTAAACATCGGCGGCAATGTCGAGAGCGTGGCCCAGGTTGAACCCTGCAGAGTATACGCCAGCAGTGGCCTTCTCCTTCCTGTGTACCATACTAATTAGTGTCTGGATCGCGCTGAAACACGGGAACGGGAGGAGAGGAAAGGGACAATGGCTGGCTTACTCCTTCTCAAGCACGGCAGTAAGAACGGACGAGGCGTTGGCACTATTCAGAAAGTCGGTTTTAGAATCTGGCTTGTCTTTTTGGTTTGGGCATTGCACACATCGTGGTGTATGTACAGAAGCACGCAAAAACAGAGAGAACGGAGGCTTATCGTGGGAGCCATTGGACGTACCCCTTGCTCGCGCCCTTGACATCCTTGACAACCAGCTCGAACGTGTCAAAGTCCAAAGCAGTTACCGCATCAAAGGCAACATCGAAGAGAATGAGGGACCACTCGAAGAAGGCGTAGATGGTGTAGGCTGTGCGGCGCATAGGCGCAAAGGTTAGCGCATTGTGTTCCGTTTGTCGCAAGAGTGTCTTCGGAACTGTGACATACCTCCGGCCACACGGTGGACCTTGTGCTGAATAAAGAAGTAGACCAAGGGAACCAGGGAGCCAAAGAAGCTACCGGCAATCCACTTCCTGTACTTGATCGCCTTTGCGTTCGGAGGGCTAAGCGCAATGCATCCGGTGGTCCAAGGGATCGTAAAGACAATGTACGAGATCATGAGGATATCGTGCCAGTCATGGTCGTCGGTCGAGGTGATGTAGGTCCAGCCGCCGCAAGTAAGAGTTCGGATGACACCGCAAAGCGCAATCGCTTTGGGGAGGACACGGCCGGGCTTGGCAGTCAAGAGATACCAGAGTCCAACAAGGGCGAATCTCGGACCTGCCGGACATTAGCATGGAGGCGCAAGGCGCATTGTGTGGTTTGGGGAGTTGTATTGTAGAGCGTACCGGAAGTGATGGCGATAAAGATCATAAAGATGGATCGTTCGGGATATCGGTCGCCAATGGTGGCAGAGACGGAGGGAAACCACTCGTCAGGGTAGCCATACCACTCGTTCTTCACGATCTTGTGGTAGTGGAGGGCGCATCCGATGATGAGGGCGCTAAGAAAGGCAGCTGGTGTCGCATTGGAGTTGTTAGTATATGACGTGCATACTGGGAATAGCCTCTAGTACCGCAAGTAAACAATGACATACCATAGGCAACGACAGTGTGTGTCCAGCTGATCCATTGGCCGTTGAAGGAGAGCACGACGCCGGTGTCCTTGTCCTTGTACTTGGACGACGCCATGGTGGCAGACTGGCAGTTGTTGTGTCGCGGAGATATCGCGGGCTTGGAGGTTCGACTTGTCGCGCAACTTCCACTTTGGCTGGTTTCTCTAAGAAGATTGGCAATGGAGGGGTCGGATCCGGAGTTAGTGGGATTTGGTGGACAACATGTCAGGGCCTCTGATCGCCAATCGAGTAAACACAATGACGAGCCACGAAGAGGGTGAGGCCAGAAAGGAAAGTGTTGAGACAATGGCCAGCAAGCAAGAAGAAAGAAAAGAGAGAAAAGAGAAAAAAAAAGATCCGATGACAAACTGCCTCGGAAAGAAAACCACACAAGAGACAAGACGCCAAAGCGCAGGATCGCGATTCAGGTCCCTGTCAATCGCTAACGGGCAGCCCGGCGATTAAGGTACGGGCCCGGGGACGATTGACGACCGTCGATTGGCGAATTAATTGTTAGTGCCGCTCATAAGCCAGTCCATGAGCGGGATCCTCCAATGTCACTTCCACACTCGGTCAACATGGCCGGGGTACCGCCAAGACCACTAGTCCCGGACAGGGCACTCGGACCACTTCAACTTTCCGTGTGCAACAGCGCCAGAGACCACCACAACGGCCCCAAAACCGAGGCACGTTCCGGAAATGGTGCATCGTGTGAAAGATCCGGAGTGCCAAGACAAACCCCAACCTTCTCCAAGAAATTCCAAGCCGCTCACGTCAACAAAAAGAGGAAAGAGACGGGAAGAGGAAAAAAAGTCATGAAATCAAGTGCAACATGGATTGTGGTGGCGGGTGGGGTAACCTTGCACAAGAGAGCACAGACCACCGGTTTCGGTGAACGCAAGGTGAGCAACTGCAACACTCACTGCAATCGATTGAAGCATCCTTGTCTCCAGGTCTCCACTAAAAAGTTTCTGTCCCACCCGGCCTGTGCAACTGCAGACAACAACTGCAAAGTGCAACTCCATTTGTTTTGTTTGGTGATACCGAGATAACATCGACAGCCACATCAACACCGGGAACAGGCAGCCTTTAAGCACTTCAACTACCACGACAGCACTCTGCTACGATCACCACCACCACGTCACCACCCAACGATCGGTCACAGTTAATCCGACATCATGGGTAGCGTCGCGGAAAAGGCACGCTTCTACCTCGAACGGGCAGCTCCCCAGCTCCGCGAGTTCGAGGAAAAGGAAATCTTCAACAAAGTTAGCCCATTTCTACCAAACCCCCTCTCTATCTCCCAGTCTAGACATCTCTAACACCCCCTACCAACAGGATGAAATCCGCTCCCTCGTCACCAAACGCTCCGACTTTGAGCATCTCGTCCTCTCCCCGGGCACCAAACCCTCCGACTTCCTCTCCTACGTCCAATGGGAACGCTCGATGGACCGTCTCCGCGCCAAGCGCTGCAAACGTCTCAAGATCCGTGGTTCCAACCCCCGCCCCTCCGAGGCCCGTGTCTTCGGTATCTTCGAGCGCGCCGTCATGAAACACCCCGGATGCATCCCGCTCTGGATCGCCTACCTCGACTTTGCCGCCGAGATCAAGGCCACGAAGCGATGGCGCCGGGTTATCACCAAGGCTATCCGTATGCACCCGAGGAGCGCAGTGCTGTGGACGATGGCGGGACGCAATGCGGCGGTGCACGGCGATATGGAGAGGGCGAGGGCGTATTTCCTAAGAGGGTGCAGGTTCTGTACTGGGGAGGTTAGCCTGTGGGTGGAGTATGCGAGATGCGAGATGGAGTGGTTGGCGAGGATAGAGGCCAAGAAGGGCGGGAAGGGAGTGCGGAGGGGAGTCAACCCGATCGAAGCTATCAAGGCTACTGAGGGGACTGAGATCGAGGGTGATCACATCGCGCTGGACGACTCGGACGAGGATGACGAACTCGACGGTGACGAACTCATCTTACCCGACCCCGATGCCGGCGAAAAGAAGAAGAAACCCGTCTTCGACGCCGAAGCCACCCGCAAGCTCGAACAATCGCCCGCTCTCTCGGGCGCCATCCCAATGGCTATCTTCGACATTGCCAAGAAGCAGCCGTTCTACGCCGCTGTAGCATGCGAAGCCTTCTTCGACATGTTTGCCACTTTTGGCCATGTCTCTTGCCAATCCAAGATTACCCAGCACGTGTTGTCCGCTATGGAGGAAAGCTTCCCCAAGTCGGCGTGCACTGCGAGCTGCTTTATCAGGCAACCGCTTATTGGCGTGGATATCAACACGCCGGAGTTCCCCAAGGCTCTGCGCGAGTCGTTGGCCAGGCTGCGCAAGGCGTACGCGGAGCAGACGGAGGAGAAGAAGGCGCTTGCTGGAAAGATTGTGGATTGGGCCAGCAAGATCCTGGAGATCGAGAGCTTGGATCCCGCGATCAGGACGGTGTTGGAGGCTACAAAGAAGGGGTTGGAGGCTACAAAGAAGGGGTTGGAGGGGGAGTTGGGACAAGAGAAGGCTTAGAGGTAGAATTGGTTGATGATACCCATGAAAGAGTAATTAGTTCGTCGTTGATTTTTGCATTATATGGTTGGTTTATCACTCGAGTCAGTTTTGTTGCTCCTCTTGGTTTCGTGACTGTGTTATTCCATTTTGTTATCCGGAACTCTATCCTAATGCCAATACGCCTCAAAATGCGTCATCACCAAAGGGGTATCAACAACTTCACTCCCTCTTCTCATTTTTTCCCCATCCTTCTCTTTCCCCTCTCCCATCGCCCTATCATTCCCCTTTATCCCCCCTCCCCGTCTTCCCCCCAGCCTTCTCCATCAAAAACTCCCACTCCCCCTCACCAACCCGACTCACACTCAACCGACTCTGCCTCAACAACTGCATCCCCTCCAACGGCTCCCCCCTCTCTCCCCACTCCCTCAACTCCTTCAACCCCAGCTCCCTCTTAAACTTCTCCCTAAACTCCACATGCACCAAACTCCACGGATTCTCTTTCCCCTGTTCCTTGGCCATCTTGGCTTTCGCATCAAAGTACGCAGCGCCAGGGTCAACAGCCGTCCAATCCTCCTCCGCCTCTTTGACAATCTCCATGACACCTACGATCCCCGGGTTGGCGCAGTTGGAGTGATAAAAAAAGGCGAGGTCGCCGCGACGCATCGAGCGCAGGTTGTTGCGGGCTGAGTAGTTACGGATGCCGTCCCAGGGTTCGGGGGAGGTGCGAGACGCGAGGTCGTCGATGGAGAAGCGCACGTCGTGGCCGTTTTCGAGACGGGTTTGGGGTTCGGCTTTTAGGAGCCAGTATTGCCGGCTTGTGGTGGTGGTGGGAGGTTTGGCTGCCACCGGGGGTTGGGAAGCGGATGGGGTGGGTTTGGTGGTGCGGGAGCGCTTGGTTGGTGGTTGTGACTAGGAGGAAGGTTAGTTATGGGTAATGTCATTGAGTAAAGGTGGTTGTATGTAGTATTGTCAGATGAAATCTGGCGTTGTTGAAACATGTGAACTTGGGTTCAAGTGAAATGAGGAGAGCAATGATCGCGACGCGACTCATCAGCTCTTCCGTGCCACTCTTACCTCTACCTCTACTTTCTCCTCTTTCCCCTCTTCCTTGACAGTAGCTTGTTTCCTACCACCCTTCTTCCCAGTAATGGCTGCTTTAGGTTTCTCTTCCTTCACATGCGCCATAACCTCCTCGTTTGGCTCAACACCCTTGCTCAACCGCGAAGAACGTCGACGCGTCGCCTGCTCAGGCTCAGGCTCGGCGTGAGTGGATTTCCTTTTGGGCATGTTGGTTGAAAATGCTGTTAAGGTCCGGTTTGCTGTGAGATTGGATTGTAAAGGAGTGGCAGTTTTGGAGAAAATCGGAAACCGTGGTTTTGATGTCAAGTAGAAGGGTTGACGTTGAGTTTGACGTTGGATGTTGTTGGCGCCAAGACGTTGGGGTCTGGACGGACAGAGCAGCGGAAAATTGCAGGGGTGAAGGGGATGGAAATTGGCTGCTTCGTTGCGGAACAAAATGCGCAAAAGGTTATGCCTCATTCTGCATGGGAATCAAAAGCCAGGCACCTCGGAGCTGATATTTATTTTCTTTTTTTCCTTTGCAAAGTTGTAATCCTTGAACATTTGAACTGTGAGCTGTTCATCGGTCCAGGAATGGCAGGTTGCACAGACCATAGACACAGTTCATTGTAGGAACATCCGTAAGTGAAGAGCCGTCAAGAACAGCGTTAAATGGAAGAATAACTGTTCGGTCTCTTCCAGGCATTTTAGCCATGAGGCCGGGCACTGTACCTGTAGGTAGAAGGTCTCAGAGACTGTTTTCCCGGCGTTCGGGATGTTGGTCGATAGGTATGCCGGTCCCGGCCCCACACCTCCGACTCTACCCCACTTATCCGGTCCGGCCCTCCGGGTCTGCGGGATTACGAGAAACATGCCGAAGCAGTCAAGGAATCTTGGAAAAAGGTACGTTGTATATGTATGTTTGATTGAACCATTTATACACATACGGATACTTTATCTCATTCACTGTTGGACTTGCGCCTTCCAATTCGGGCTTGATCGTGCTTTCTTTTGATTTGGCGAATGTCTTGATCGGCTTTCCATCATAACGGCTTTTCTTCGTCGCAACATGTGTCTCTTTTCTTGGACCAAGACCACCCCTTGAAGTCGAAGCATCATTATCTCTCAATGCTGTTTCGGCTGAAAAGTACTTGCTTACCCCCGGGCTCAAACTGCACTTTTGTTGTAGTTAAGCAACTACTCACATGTGTTTACATGCATGTATAGCTTGCCCGTGCCACTAACAACCTGGCACTGCCCAGTTTCATGCTTCTTTCCCCAGGTACCTTAAACAATAATCGTAGTAGTCGCACCGGAATTCAACATGAGGCACAAGACAGTTCCGACAACGCTTGTATGACCTTAAAGTGCGTGGGTGGTGGGACAAGTCGGACAGACGTCGTGCATAGCTGACCCAAAGCGGAACGATATGAAGATGACTGCGTATTCCAGAGGTAGGAAAAGAGAAACTACAATGGAAGGCAGTGAGATAGACGGATTCGAGAATGGCCACACAGAAAAGCTTGGGTAATGCTCATATCCGCGAAGATGCTGGTTGTGTATCGGTATCGTCAGACCAGTTGATGTTCCAGCCAAGTGTGGGACATCAAACCCTCGAAAACTACGTTCTGTTTGATGTTCGAGAATGCGCCTGGAATTTTCAGATGAAAAGCTAGTGAGTGGGAACCACCATCGGGTGCCTCAACAAGCAATATCGGTTAATATGTTGAGATATTTCGATCGCTTTTGTGAGTTCTGGTTGTCATAGGATTTGACTCGACTCGACAATGGCCACATCATCTGGAATGGCGGTTCCTGAATGTTCTGAACAAGTTTGACGATGAAGCGACAAGGTATCCATTGTGTCGGGTTCAAGTACCTGTTGGGTCACAAACCCAAGGTACGCCGGCGATGTGCGTGTGCGTGTTGCCCGGCCTTGGAGGAGACTGCCCAGTTTCACTTGCGCCTCCATGTGATGCTTCTCATTATGTGTGTTGATCTGAAAGCTGAAAGCAGATGAACACGAATCAAAAGAAAACCAGGAAAAGAAGAATGGAATGGGACGATTCAAAAGCTGTCGGGCAGATGACGAGGGGATTGCATGTTCGCAGATGTCTTCCCGCCCGACCCTGTGCTGGGGCGGGGATTTTTAGCTCCCGCACATGGCGGGCATTGCTCGTGGTGCGAAAGGGGTGAGTGACTCTGCCACCGAAAGCAGCAGAACATTAAATGGCTCCATCGCCCACCTTTCTATCACTTCTTTCTCCTCTTTCCATTGTTTATCGCTTCCTCAGACACTTCTTTCCATCATTTCCCCTTTTCGAATATGTGCGGACCATGGTTGTGGATTGATTGACGATAAATTTCATCGCCGTTAACACCAACCATGTACCCTCTTCCACTGGAAATTGTTAGTGCAGATGGTCACGGAGAGCATTTGCAATGAACGACATCTCATACGAAGGAGACCCGCGAAGGACACATCGACAACGACAACTGTTTTCCAACCGAATTCATCATGGTCGATGACTTCCATCACAGCACGGAGATTTGCCAGGAAAAGCGATAAAATCCATCAGGCACATGGCGTCGCGTGGGCTGCCCAACTCCCCATGGCTGTCTATCCGGCAGTGTGATGCGGGTGACCAGTCCAGGTACCTTGTCCACCAACACCAACGCCTGGCCCACTGATCGAGCCCATGTGGAGGGATGAGGACACACAACTGAAAGGCCACCAACGGATCAGATATTCGCAATCAAGCGACCACCTTCACTTTCACCACGAAGAGAGATGGTTTCCAAAGTCAAATAACAAATCCACGTCATTTGGCATGGAAATGAAACTTCGACATGAAACCCGATTCGGGCATGTTGATCGGTCGACACCAAATCCAGTTCGGCCGGACTTCAACTTGGTGGCTGGTGGGGTACGCAGCATGTACCAAAGCGCACGGCAAGCGGGAGAGACGACGTGACGGAGCCAGCTGCAGCGGTCAAGCGACTTGAAGAATCAGCGAAAAAAGGACTATTAAAGAGGAGGAATGAACCCTTTCCTTGGGAAAGGAACGTCCATTTCCCATTCTACTGACATTGTAGCTTGACACGAGGAACTCGAACAGCGATAAGACAACCGGATATGAACGGAACTGCCTCCGCCCTACAGTACACCCACATCATGTCTTTCCGTAACGAAATCCAGGCACCACCATGGACAGACAGCATTCATCACTTCAACATCGAGTTCCTCATCATGGCCACACTTTGGCTTCCAGAAGGCCTCGACCTCACGTTTCGAACGTTTATCATCAGAAGAAAAAGGGATGCCGGACTGCCGCAGCCTAGAGTCGAAATCGAGCAGAAAAAGACAAACAAAGGATGAGATAATGGTTAAAACTCCATAACCCAGAGAGAACAACGGGTTTCGACATCGACATCCACCATGTCCACGAGGCTGTCGCTACGACATACTGACAACCGGCTCAAGACAGTCGTCCGGGATGTCCATGAGGCGATTTGTTTCGACATTGCCGGACATCGAAGGCAAGATGTCACAGCTGGGACATTCGTTGCCATCGTGCTCACAGGAAGAAAAGTTGGTACGGCCCTGCTAGTGAAGGACGGGAGTTCACACCAACACCTGCAGCTTACTAAGGTATCTCACTAGCTGTCACTATCGTTGGCTATGATTGGCTATGCTGACATGGCTGCGCTAGCCTGTTGTGAAACTTGGAAATGACTTGGTCGGGGGGCTGACCAGACTCACCACTGAAGCAGCATCTTCTTGCTACTCACTTCGTTGACCGCAGCTTTTCCTCCGTCGGTCGTAAGCCTGGACGGACAGCTGGCTGGACACCATCAAGAATACAACCGACCAGACCATAGAAGAGCAAACCGCGACCGCGCTTGAGCAACCCCCCATACCCACACCATCTGCTGGTAACCTTCAGACCGCAGGTAAGACTCTGGTCTCGTTATTATCACTTCTATCCCTTCTGTCTACGTATCGCTTCGGAGTCAACTACGCCCACCAGCTTCGGAGCTACAGCCTTGTGATCTTTTGGCATTGGATATTCCTGATTGACCCCAGCATACATGCACTGGAGCTCAACAATCACATAGTGTAGACTTTGTGTTTGTTAGCCCCTATACCTCTGGTCCGCTTCCACGGCTCGTTTGAAAGTAGCACAACGGTCTATCAGGGACACTCAACATCACATTGTACATCGGTTTCCGATAGCAGTTCCAGTCGTCAAGTTCTGCATCCCCCTTTCACAACCCGAGTCTCTGGAGACACCTAAGAACCTCACTTAATCCAAGTGGACGCTTACAAACTCAACATCTCGTGCCTTCAATTTTCTTGCTGCTTTCTGAAGCATGGAAACTTTCGGGTCAAGGTCCGGCCAAGTCGAGGCGTTAAGGTTGGCAACATTCAGTTGCAGACCTCGCTATTGTCTCGTCCATGGATAAACACAGCACTGAAGAGGAGTCAAGACAACATGAAGTTCCAAGAAGAGAAACATTTCTCAGAGTTGTCAAGTGGTTCTTGGGTGCGAAAACTAGCCCTTGTTGATCAAGTGAACCAGCTAGCGCTGAGATTCCCCTTTCTGTCATCTCATCCAATATTCACAATCACTTTATGGCAGCAGTCTGGTGTTCCTCGGTGGTTGCACTCGGCTCATATTTTAGCCTTTTAGAGCTTCCTGCCAGCTGCCGAATTGGAGAAACAACTGGTGCGCATCCCCGAAATATTGCGTGTCAGCTGCTCGCCAGTCTCCCGCCAGCAGTCAGCACTCCGAGTCAGCACTGCCCCTGCCGTCTCAGTAGAGGTCAAGAACGGTAGCAGAGCCGACAAGACCCAAAAAGTGACGGGATCATTGTAGCGCACGGGCGTGATTCTGTCCAGCCAGAAACCGACTTGACACTCTCTTGCTTCCAGTCTCCTACCACCATCAATCAGTTGCTGCCACTGCGCTCACCCAAGCACCAAGCACCCAAGCACCGCACCCACCCAAAGCGACCAAGCACCCAGTCCGGAGCAAGTGCCAGTCAGTCCCAGTCTCTCGCTCGCCAGTCCGCCGCAGTCCCAGTCCGCATTCCCAGTCCCAGTTCCCCGTCCCCGTTCCCGACCACGCAAAGAGCGCCAACCCGCGACGCGACTGCGACCGAAGTGCTCCATCGCGACAAGCCTCTGCCGTGTCACTACACGCCCTATTCTCATCAATCAGTTCCTCATTAGGCCATGCTGGTGCCCTGGCATATGCCTTGCTGACCCTTGACCGAAGGAAAACACGCGGTAACAGCTGATGGGTTCGACGGTGACCGTTCCGATTCCCACACTTGCCACTACTAACCGCCGCCGCCGCCGCCCACACCTCGACTACCTCGACCTCGACCTCGACCACACGATCCATCTAACCCAGCTCCAGCTCCAACCATACCCGACATGAGCTCCTGGATGAACGATGCCGCAGTCCAGAACCACAATGGCAACGGCTACCCCCACCTCAATGTCAACGCCAACGTCAACCTCAACGACCCGGCCGCCATGACCAACAACATGGCTGCCGCCGGCGTTATCGACCCGGCCGCCTTCATGGCTGCTGCCAATCCCCAGGTCGCCGCCCAGTTCAACGTCAACCCGGGAAACACCATCAACCCCGCCCAGTTTGCGAACCCCCAGATGCTTGCCATGCAGAACGGCCCCATGCGTAATGCCTCGCCCGCCTTCAACAACGCCATGTACCAGACGAACCCCATCATCCCCTCCAAGCGCCCCCGGCCGAGGGAGGATAGTATAGGCCAATCGCCGCGCCAGGCCCCCGGCATGATTCCGACCTCACGCGCCGACACTCCCCAGCAGTCGCAGTTTCAAGGTTTTCAACAGCAGCCGACAGGGCAGCCGAATCCATATCCCCATCTGCAACCGAACGGCTCCGCGAATGCGACGCCCTCGCCCATAATGAGCAACCAGATGCGCCCCGGCAGCGTCCCCCAGCGAGTGGCCACGGCCTCACCACATCCCTTCTCTCCCGCCGCGCAACAGTTCCCGCAGAACTCGCCCATACCGTCCGACCACGGCGGCACGCCTCAGCCCAACTACATGCAGCAGAACTTCGCCCAAAACTTCAACCCCCAGCAGTTCGCGCAAGCCCAAGTGTCAGCACGACCGAGCCCGTCGCCGAACCCCATGGCCAACCAGATGATGCAGCAACAGATGGCTGGGATGCCGCAACAGCTACAGATGCAGGGACAGCTACACGGTCAGATGCCCGGCCAAATACCGGGACAGATGGGCGGACAGATGGGCGGACAAATGCCAGGACAGATGCCAGGGCAGATGGGAGGTCAAATGGGAGGTCAAATGGGAGGTCAAATGGGAGGCCAAATGGGAGGCCAAATGGGAGGCCAAATGGGAGGCCAAATGGGAGGACAGATGCCTGGGCACATGGCCGGTCAGATGCCGAGTCAGATGGTTGGCCAGATGCCGGGACAAATGCCAGGACAAATGCCTAGCCAGATGGCCGGCCAGATGCAAGCCCAGATGTTCCCCCAACATATGCAACAAATGCCCCAGCCTAGAAACGCCATGGAGCAGCAACGGCTGATGTACCAGATGCAACTTCAACGACAGGCAAACATGCAAATGCAACAACAGATGGCCGGCCAGAACATGATGCAACCACACAATGCGGCTCAAGCTCAGGCGCAACATGCTCACGTTCAACAAGCTCAAGCTGAAGCGCGAGCTCAGGCGGCGCATCGTAACTTGATGGCTGCCAGAGGAGGACAGATGGTTCCCACGGGAATGCGCCCCCAGCAGGGGATGGCTCAACAAAAGCAACAGCACCCACAGCAGCAACCTGTTGGAAGGGGGGACCCCAATTCGTTCCTCAAGAACTTGACGGCGTTCATGAACAGCAAAAACATGCCATTGGAGATAAGCCCGGTTGTTGAAGGTCGCCCAGTAAACTTGGCCTCCCTATTTCAGCTTGTATACCACAAGTTCGGAGGGTATCGCAACGTGACGCAGTCGAACGGTTGGCCGCAAATCACACAGATGCTCGGGTATCCTGTCCACCAGGTGCCTAATGCGCCGCAACATATCAAGACTGTTTACGAACGGAATATCCTAAAGTTCGAAGAGGCGTGGACGGCACAACAGCGGGCCAGGCAGGCCGGTATTATGCCCAATCCGCAAAACATGCAGCAAGCTCAACCCATGAAGCCGATGCCACAGATGCCGCCAAACCAGATGATGCCAGCCGGGCCACAGCCACCTATGAAGCCCCCAGTTGCGCAACAACCGAATGTCAATGGCTTTCCTGGGCCGCATCCCGGGCAACAACAACAAGCGAACGCCGGTCCGATGGGCCACCCGCGTAACAGCCTGTCGAGGAGCTCACAACCTACACCAACAGCAGAAGAGTTTCCAATGCCGTCGCCGGCTCACAACAAGGCTGGAAGCATGTCGATGCCAGGGTCTGCCCACCCAGAGAACCAGGCGATTCCAGGGCAGGGAGTTGAGGCCGCGCCTGGGTTCCCCAAGCCGACCCGTGATCCAGAGGTCTATATACCTTGTTCGAGAGAAGTTACCACATATGGCGGCGTGGATCTTGGCTCGGTAGAACATTTTGCGGAACAGTTAAGGAAGTTCAAGCCAGACGTTCCCCATCTTACCGATCTAGGGAACATCGACGTACATGCTCTAACCAAGAGCATCCAAAGTGGCATCCACGGCGAAGTACGGCTTGCCTTGGATGTGCTGGGGACGCTATCGGCCACATCACCAGAAAGTGGCAAGCAAGACCCTCCTCAGCCATATCTCCCGCTTGATCTTCGACACTGCGACGACCTGGTAGAAACACTGATAGAATGCGCTGAGGAGCAAGTTGATCTGCTAGCCGAAAACTCGGAAGAAGCCTCCGACGAGATTACCATCACCTCTTATGAGGATGTCGTCCGCGCCTGCCGCATCGAGAAATTCGCCCCCCGGAGCGTCCCCCTCTTCGGCTCACAAGAGTACGAGCTCGACCACGCCGCCGACAGGCTAATAGCCATCACCACTATCCTACGCAACCTCTCTTTCCTCGAGGAGAATCAGGCCTGTCTCGCCGACGAGTCCGTCATCCGCTTCCTGTGCATGGCCATCCGCTACCTCGGCACGCGCGAGATGTTGCTCCGCACGCAGGTCAACACTCTGGACTTTATGAAAGATCTGGTCATCCTGCTCTCCAACATCACGCGCTGCGTGGAGATGCCAGGGAGGGAACAAGCCTTTTGCCTGCTCCAATTCCTCCTTGCTTTCGCTCCCTCGCCAGCTCCAAGCATGTCTCCTTCACCCGACGGCAACGATTCTGACCCGGGAATCCTCTTCTTCACGCCTTACGACCCCTCCCTTCACCCATACCTCCCACACGCAATCGACTCGCTCGCCAAACTCTTGGCCCGCGACGAGCCGAACAGGATGTACTACAAAACCATCTTCGCCAGCGAATCCCCCTCACCAGGCCAAGCGTCGCCAGCAGACCTGCTGATAACCCGCACCTTCGCCCTCGCTATCTCGCCCATCCCAGACCTTTCTGCTCCAAACACGCGCCCCGCCAACATCCCTTCCTTAATCGAAGTCAGGAAGCCGTTCCTCATGCAAGGACTTCTAGCTGCCGACATTCTCGCCTCCATTACCCCCGACGGTCCCGTCGGAGCTGGAGCAGGTGCCGACGCAGCCGAAAACGGACCAGCTGTTGCCAGCGGTGGGGTCAATGTCGCCAGAGTATGGCTCTCCTGCGGCAATGGCCTCGTGCAAAATCTCTTCCACCTCGTTCGTCAACTCAGCATGCAATACGAGTCTCAACCGGTCGGTCCCATCAGGCCTACAGGGCGCGGCGGTGCGAACCAGCAACATAACAAGCGGGATGCGGATCTGGTGTACATTGTCAGCTTGGCCGTTAGCATGCTGAGGAAGCTGGGTGAGAAGGCTGCGAAGGATTCGCCTTCGGGTAACAGGTATCGGAATGGAGCGATGGGGGATAGGATGGAAGGAATAGAAGGGGAGGAAAGTCAATGGGAAGGAGGATGGGAAAGGCAGAGGCAAGATGGATTGCCGGCGTGTGCTGTACTGCCTGGTAAGGACACGTTGCTGGGAGCGCTGCAGATGTGCGCGGCGGAATGGGGGAAGGAGGGCATGTTGAAGGATTTGGTTACTTTTTGTGGTTTGTGGGAGTGAGTTATTTTTTTTTAAAGTCTTTGGGGAAGTCAATGAATGGATGGGGTTTGATCGGAGATGGGGTCTTTTATAAGGGGGTTGCATGCTGTTGGGATTGGGATGAGGTGCATGATGCAGATGAGATGCCAATGGAGCTGCAGGAGGCGGGAAGAGGAAGACGCGTGGCGATGAGATGGATACGGGAGACGGGTACGTGACATGGATAAGGAAAAGCAAGTGAAGAAAGAGGAACAGGGAGAAGCGAGAACTCAAGTGGAAAGGAGTGGGGGATAGGGTGGGAACCAATCGAAGAAGAACAGAGAAAGAAAAATCGTACATAATAGAGGAGTTTTGCCTTGCTTTGTCTGTCTTGAGAGCAGGCGGCTGTCTGTTTTCGTCAATAAATATTATGGCTTTGGATGGGATAGGCTGGTTAGGAGTTTTGCGAAGTCTTGGTCAATGAAGCAAGCGAAGAGAGTTAAAGAGTTGAAGAGAGTTAAAACAGGGGTTGGCAGCTTGATCATACATACAAACCAGCGGAGCTTTGTGTATCACTTGGCCATTATTAACTTGTCGCGAACCTGCCGTGAACTGTGCGAAATGTAGCATTCGTTGTGTTGTATTTTTACATCGAGAACTCTCCCCCAACCAAGCCTCGTCAAAGCCTCCTCCAACCATACATGAACCTGCTCGCCCAAGCTCATAACTTGGACGACAGGGTTCTTCTTCGTATAGACAGACATATACCATTCGACCGCCTTTTGTATATCCATTACCCGTTCCTTACAACCCGCTTGGTGATACATTGTCTCAACAAACATGTGGTATATTCCTCCATCGTACAAGTAACCCCTCCTATTTACCCCTTGGAGGTCGCCCTCGGAAGCCCACACCCACAACCCTCCCATGTATGCGTCTTGTCTGCTCGGCAATACTCGTCCCGGTCATGGAGTATTGGAGTACCCCCCCGGTATAGGCCCCAGCACGCGCCCCAACCCGTTGTCTTGAGCATCAATTGATCTGTTTCCTACTCGATTTTCGGTCTCGATGATGGGCTGGTTGATCCTCGTCATGTTATGTTGACCTGTGTGTGGCTGAACGCTCCCCAGAGGTGTGTCTATCCGCAACATCTTTTTTGTTTAGAAGCCCAAGCCGTTCAGGAACTTGACGACCTCCTCTCTGCGGTGTCCCTGTTTTTGTTTTGTATTCCGTTAGCATCACTTCTTTTCCGCTTCAAGTTTTACTCTCTTCTTGCTTCCCTGATCGCCTTTCCTCTGTTCTCCCATCTCTTTTTTTTCTTGCCCATTTTCCCCTGACCTCTAACCTCTGCACTAGTATTTACCTGTCTTCCTCCTCTCCCTTCCTTGCCTCTCTCCCCCACTTTCCATCTCTTTCCCGATTTCTATTCCATCTCCCCGCTCCCTTCCTTGTGTCATACTTCCCCCCTCTCTCGCATATAGTAGTAGCAAACAGAAAATGCAAAACAAAACTCACATCAACCTCCAAATGTCCCGTCGGCACCTTCACCCGCACCAGCTTCTCCTCCAGCCCCAAGAACTGCGCAAGATCTCTGCGCAAGGCCTGGCCATCACCTTGCACCTTCTTGATCTGCGTGAGCTTCTTGTTACCACCGCGCTTGGCCAGGTGGTAGACGGGCAGGCGCTGGGTCCAGGCGCGGCCTACTAGGTAGGGCTTCGCGACGGGTTTCGACGATTCTGTTGGCGCAGCGGTCTGGGTCTGGATAGGTGTGGGTTGTGTGGGCGTGGAGATGGTGGGCTGCTGCTGCTGGGATGGTGTCGTTGGTGTTGGGTGCGATGCGGCGGCGGCGGAGGAGGAGTAGAATCGGGGTTGGAAGGCGGGAAGGACGGCGGCGCGGACGGTGAGGGTCGTCGCGGGCTGGGCGATGGCCCGGGAGAGGCCGAGGAAGGTTGGGCGGAACATGGCTGTTGTGTTTTGTTGTGTGGTGTGGTGTGGTGTGGTGTGGTTGTGGTTGAGAAAGTATGAAGGAAGGCTGTCGCGAAAGTTGGAGGTCGAATCGAGCCCGGGTTCGGTCGCAACGGGATCTGATAGGCTTGGCTGGGATCTGGAGTTAGGAACTGGACCTGCGCTGCGGCCGAGAGGTCCCCGTTTCGGTTCGCGTTCAATTGCTGGCTCGCTGGAGTCGGATCGGTCCCGCGTCCCGTGGGCCGTGTCCTCCGCGCGGCGGGTCGGTCTTTCCCGTCTGGAAATTTGGTCGGTAATCGGCAGAATTATTGACCGCCCGGGGGTCCCCGCCTGCTCTGCCGTCCGGATGTGCGCCGGGAGTGCTGAAAGTTCGCTGAAGCTCCAGGCCTTGTGGTACTCTAAAACCACCCCTCCGTGCCGCAAAGAACGGACACCGCATTCAGCTGCAATTGTGAATTGAGCCAAAACACAGCGGCACAATTTGATGGCCCGTGCTTTTCGTCACTGAACCGCATTTTCCCAATTTTCGACCCCACCAAAGATTGACGGGCCACCACTGGACGGCCACTCTTCAGAGTTCACAAAGAGAAATTTGGCGGATCGCATATCGAAAGCACCTGGCAACCTGGAGACACGGCCTTCCATATTCCTCTTCCTTTCTGATAGTCGACCGACCCTCCCCCCTCCCCCGGCCCTATCTTATCCCACCGTAATACCCCCCCCCTCCAGGCCTCGACTCGACCCGACCCGACTTGACCTTGTCGTCCACTCCGTGTCTGTCATCACCACCATCAACATCATCACCACCACCCATACACAGTCACAGACACACATCCAAGATGGCTTCCACATCCCCCGCCACCAACGGCGACGCCGCGCCCGCCAACTATGACCTCGTCCTCAAGCTCGCTCCCCATCTCGACCGCCACATGATCTTCCCCCTCCTCGAGTTCAACGCCGGCCGCCTTAAGGAAGATGAGACCGACAAGGCTCGCGAGATCCTCGCCGCCAAGTACGCCCTCCTCAAGAAGACCAACATGACCGACTACGTCGCCAACCTCTACTGCGAGCTCGAGGGCCTTAAGGAGCCCCCCGCCGAGTACGCCGAGCGCCGCCAAAAGGTCTTCCACCAGCTCGAGAAGTACGAGCAGGAGACCGCCAAGATCACCGAGCTGCTGCAGCGCGACGATGTCGTCAACAACCTGCGCTCCGACAAGGTGGCCAACTTGGAGTTTTTGAAGAAGGAGCACGACGTACGTCTTACTTATATCCATCAGCACATGGCTGTACATGTCTAACCATACCGTGTGCAGGTCACCATCGACATGGTCAACGCCCTCTACGACTTTGGCCAGCTCCAGTACTCGTGCGGCAACTACGCCGACGCCTCCGAGCTCCTCTACCGCTTCCGCGTCCTCTCCACCGACAACGACAAGGTCTCGTACGCCACATGGGGTCGTCTCGCCTGCGAGATCCTCAGCATGAGCTGGGAGTCCGCCATGGAGGAGCTGCAAAAGGTGCGCGAGAGCATCGACACCAGGCTCGCCAACAACCCCCTTGCTCAGCTCCAGCACCGCACCCAGCTCGTCCACTGGGCCCTCTTCCCCCTCTTCAACTACGACAAGGCCCGTGAGCCCCTCCTCGACCTCTTCTTCAACGCCGGCTTCATCAACACCATCCAGGCCAACTCGCCCTGGATCCTCCGCTACCTCACCGTCGCTGTCATCACCAACCGCGGCCGCGCGAAGAACGCTGGTGTCCAGCAGAAGCAGATGAAGGACATTGTTCGCATCGTTAAGCAGGAGGCCTACGAGTACCAGGACCCCGTCACCCGCTTCGTCCACGCCCTGTGCATCGACTTTGACTTTGAGGAGGCCCAGCACCAGCTCGTGCTCGCCGAGGAGGTCCTTAGGAGCGACTTCTTCCTGCTCGCCCACGCCGACGACTTTGTCGACTCGGCCCGCCACCTCATCTTCGAGAGCTACTGCAAGATCCACGCCCGTATCTCGCTCAAGGACCTTAGCGCCCGCCTGGGTCTCAACAACGACGACGCCGAGAAGTGGATCGTCAACCTCATTCGCGACACCCGCCTCGATGCCAAGATCGACTACAAGGAGGGCACCGTCGTCATGAACCACCCCCCTAGCTCAGTGTACCAGCAAGTTATTGAGCGCACCAAGGGCGGTTTCTTCAGGACGCAGGTCCTGACTGCTGCTGTTGCCAGATAGGAGGTTGATGATAGCGGCAGTGGGGGGCTGACTGATGGTGGCGGCAAAAGGATACCCGGGTCGACACGGCAGGAAAAGAGAAACGATGAGAGGACTGGGGAGGATTTAATGTGGCAGGGGCTCAATCGCAAGGCGAGGAGGTGGCACTGATGTGTTCGTCGAATATGTGACCGAAACTATCGCCGACGATTGGACCGCTCTGGACATCAAATGGTCAGGGTAACTCGCCGCTTCATGGCAGGCGAACTGCTTCAGCGTCTGGGCTTCAACTTGGCCAGGGCGAGTCTCGGATAGATCCCCTCCCTCCCAGTCTTTCTTTTTTCCAGCGCAATGAGAGGATTAGAAAGTGGAGATCCAAAAAGGGTTAGCGATGCATTTCGAAGAATAGACCTTTTTTCCGTTTTCTTCTGCTTGATAGTCTGTCTATCAGCGTTTGGGATTTGTCGCTATTTCTCGTGGGCAATGGACTCGGGTGGTAGAGGTAGCAAGGGAATCAGGACAAGGAGGTTTTCACGTCATGACAACAACCGGTGTAATTATACCTCTTTAGTGTGTGTTTTCTTTTTACAGGCTTCTCATCAGGCGTATCAAAATGGTTATGGCTCATTGCTTTCTGTTCGCTTATCAGTCGGGTTGTCTTTCCCTTCCGTAATATCATTCATCACGCGGTAGTCTCTACCATGGCAACTACGATCTACCAACAAAAGCTGTGGCGATTAACTGTTGAGGTATGGTCCTTCCCTCCTTCCCTCCGTTTTCCGGCATGAAGGTCTCCACTCACCAACCATCTTTTCAGGTAGGTACTCTTCATATGACAGCCAGCCCTGGTTATTCCACGGGACAAAGACTTTCACTCCTTCCTCTGTGTTCATCCTTTCCCTCTTTTCATCATCCTTCTCCTTTCGTCTTCCTCGAACCATCCGGATATTCTTTTCCCTCGACAATCTTCGTACATGACGCCCGTCCAAAGCAACCGTCGTCTACCAGTCGTCCACTACACCCCTGCTAATTGTTCGACCATGTACCTTCTTTGCGTTCAAGTACTTATGCTTCTTCAATGAAAAGCGTCTTGCCCTTCACCATCCTTTGGTCAGGGCCATCAGCAAAGACCAAGCCTTGTGCACGATGTACAATCTAGTACTGGTTTGTTTGTTAGCTTGGTACTCCTAGCATACTGGACGAGATCTATCCCGAACTGTCACAAATCTTACAAGGACATAATGAATGGCTAGGTACGGATCGGAAAGGGATTAATAAGATTCAATATGACATATTAGATGTCGGAAATAGCCTGTTCAAGGTAAGATTACGCTTTGGTTATGGAACGAAACGAATCAATTAGATATAAAAACGCCTAGGGAGGTAGACCCGAGGTCTCGAGCTAGCAAACAAACCAGTATTGGACTGTAGTCCTCCCCCCTGTTTCCTCTCTTTCCTTTTCGTTCTCCTCACCCCTCCAATCAATATCCCACACTCAAGCCTCCAGTCGGTTGATCGCATTTCTCACACAACGACCAATGGCCTGGCCGTTACAGTTTCCAGGTACGTTCACACGGTACAAGCTGCAGCTCAACATCCATCTAACCATTCGAGGACAGATGTAACCTTGCTGTGGCTGACAACCCAATCGATACGATGTTGCCCCCGCTTCGGGCCTTCAACCTTCAACATGCCCGTCTTCATAGATGGAAATCATTTGGGGATACCATCATAACATCAAGCCTCTCCCGAGCGCTGCCCCGTTAACATACCCAACCTAGCTCCAGGCTATGCTCTTCCGGAGTCAGCAACGATGGTCAGAGCGCAGGGTATCTCGCTGCTCTTTGAACCGAGCGATATCAAGCCCGAGCTTGAGTGAGTCCGCCACTCCAATCTCATCCATCAATAACCGTAGCTCGGGGTACATTTGTTAACGCGGTTTACAGCATCATCTTCATCCATGGCTTCACCGGTCATCCAAGGTTGACGTGGACCCTGGACAAGAAGAAGGCCGAGAAAAGAAGAAAGGCAAACAACGATGCCCCGAGCCACAATGTTCACAACAGCGGACAAACAGCGGACGTCTTCTGGCCAAAGGACCTGGTCCCAACAACGCTACCGTCTGCCAGGGTCATGACTTTTGGCTACGATGCCAAGATACGACATTTCTCTCAAGGCCAGATCAGCAAAAACACCGTTCAAGACCATGCTCGGGAACTCTTGGAGCAATTGAGGGATAAGAGACCGTCAGACGCAAAAGGATCTCGCCCGCTGGTCTTCATCGCACACAGTTTGGGTGGGCTAGTTGTCAGAGAAGCCCTCACTCTGGCCAGTCAGCATCAGAATGATCAAGCCAGTACCGCCCGCTACGAAGATATTTTCCGGTCCACTGTCGCCATCATATTCTTTGGCACGCCGCATCGAGGGGCTGATCCGCGAAGTTCCTTCCATCGTCTCCTCTCAGGCTCTGCTCTTCGACTTGGCGTCGACGTCAATGTCCATATCGTCGACGCTCTGATGCCCAACGTGAACAACTTGCAGAAACAACTGAGTTTGGACGACTTCAAGACGCTCGCAGCACAACGAGGCTGGATCGTCTACACTTTCCAGGAGGAGTATGGGGTGTCAAGTCTGTTCAGCAGGAAGGTAAGCGGCTGACCCCCACCTCTCCCCAGCTGAAGCTAATGCCAGGTTCAGGTTGTTGAGGATCATTCGTCTCGCCTAGGCCCACCCGTGAATGAAACACCAAGACGAATAAGTGACAATCACATGGATATGTGTCGCTTTTATGGTTTGAGTGACCCTGAGTATGAGAAAGTGGCCGCCTGTCTGCAAGAGATACTCAAAGGTATTCGTCATCCAACTGGTTCTCAGATTCGCAAGTTGTCTCCATCACTCCAGACTCAGACAGTCCTCATTACGCTCGAAGAATTCTCTTTTGTCAACGCACATGACGACGTACCAAACCGAACCATTCAACAAGACGAGCGATCAACCTAGAAAGTTGACAGCACCATTGCCACAGCCAGCTCCAATACCAGTCGCAGCATCAGTTATGGAACCGGGCGACGAATCCAACGAGAAGAGGGATTTGAGACAGAAACTGGTACAAAGCCTTAAATTTGATCAACTTGGGGCAAGATCCATGAATATTGAAGCTACTTACGGAAATACTTGCCAATGGTTCCTGTCAAAGCAGGAATATGTTGACTGGCAGAAACCCGGAAGACACTCGCCAAGTTCATGGTTTCTGTGGATCAAAGGGAAACCAGGCACGGGCAAGTCGACACTGATGAAATACCTGCACTCAACGAGACACTGCAGAGGATCCACGAACATATTGTTATCATTCTTCTTCAATGCAAGAGGCGCCTACCTGGAAAAGTCCACGATTGGTTGCTATCGGGGGCTTCTGTTCGCTTTGTTGGATGGCAGGGACAACCTTTGGCCCTCCCTAGACCATCTAGGCAATACAGGGTCCGAGTATATACTCAAGGACAACTGGACCGTCGCATCACTTACGCAAACACTTACACGAGCGATACAAATGGCACAAAGTCAAGCTATCGAAATCTGGATCGACGCATTGGATGAGTGCGAGGAGGACGAGGTCCGGAAAATGGTATCCTTTTTCGAAGACCTGGCGGACTTGGCCGACAGTCAGGACATCGACCTCAAGATTTGCTTCGCCAGTCGGCATTATCCATCCGTCACTTCTCGGAAGGGAATCGATGTAATTCTGGAACTCCAACACAATCATGACGAAGACATAGCTCGGTATATCGAGGCCAAGCTTTACGTTGGGGCAGCACAGGCGGAGATCAAGGCCGAGCTTCTCCGGAAATATTCGGGCATCTTCTTGTGGGTCGTGCTTGTTGTCCATATGCTAAACCGAGAATACGCCAGGGGGAATGTTCTGGCCTTACGAAAGCGGCTTGACGAGATTCCTGCCGATTTACATGCAGTGTTTGAGAAAGTATTGGCCAATGATGAAGGTGATAACGAGGAACTCGTCCTCCTTTTCCAATTGGTTTTGCGTGCAGAACAAGCTCTTGAGCCCGCCGAGCTGTTTGTTGCTATCCAGCGCGCAAAGGAACCTCAAGGCCCTCTACAGCGGTGGGACAGGAATAAGCCACCCATGTCCCCAGAAGCCTTGCAGCGCTGGGTGAACAGTTCTTCCCGCGGACTGGCACAAGTCACGCGACCCAGCAAAGTATATCCATATTATTGGTGGTACAATGCCAACAAACCAACCGTTCAGTTCATCCACGAATCTGTTCGCGACTACCTGCTTGGAAAAAGCGGTAACAAGTATACCTGGTCTGGGTTGTCAAAACTTGGAGACGCTTACCAAGTGTGGGCAAAAGTTTGCTTGGATCATATTCTGGCCGTTGATATATCCATCAATGATGATCTTCTCGATGTGCTTCGATACCCTCTTACGGCATACGCTGTGGCTTATCTGCGTCAACACACGATGCGGGCCATCCCAAATCGATCAACGGAACAAGAAGAAACGGAGAGGGGATATGTTTTGGCGAAGACATATTTCCGGCCACTTTGTTCGACAGAAAGGCTCGAATATCGGGAATACGTTTTGGCGAACACATATTACAGAACATTGTCCGTGGAAAGGATCGACTACCTGGAACGCTCCATTCAAGCCATGCATCAGTCGGAAGAGACCTTGCAATCAGCTGTAGACATGGGAGAAACCGAGGGCGGGTTATCAATTTTTAATAACGAATGGGTGTATAGTCGTACGGAGCTCCAGGCCGGTTTCAGATTTACCAAAGTCACGCGCGCCCGGGGAGAAATCTGGGCGTATCTGAAGAATACATCCGAGGACCCTGATGTTGTCATTCGTCGCCTTATAAACAACGAGTTACCGAATACTTGTACATCGGAGGACAGTGATGTCCTCCTTCGTCATTGTCAAGACATCGAACAGCTTTTTCTGTTACCTGAGATATCCCCACTTGAACAGGAAAAGCGGTTCTGGACCGATTGAAGATATACATGCTGTTGAAGCGAGGCGAAGGGAAGGAAGACGATTTGGTGAAGTTGACTGATTTAAGAGTAAGTGAGGAAGGGAGTGAACGTGAAGTTCACAGGCTTAGGTATTTACATGATGTCCCATGTGGAAGAACGATATCCACCTTTGTAAGGCTGAAGCTGGGTTCTGGTTCAACACATGCTGCTTTCATTTTTCGTGGCAACGTTAAGTCGTTAACGGCTAGGCTTGGATTTTCACTCCGGAATCTTGTGCTCCTCAGATGGTACACCGGCTTTCCACTGGTACTTGGACGCGATGTGCTCCTCAAACGGATACTTCTGGCCTTGAGCACCATAGAAGTTCTCACGGTATGTTCCGCCGGGGACAGCATAGTCGTCCCAGAAGAGACCACGCTTCCGCAACTCGGGCAGCAGAAGATCGATGATGTCCTGGAAAGACCCCGGGAAGAGGGCATATCCCTGAGTGGGCGTTAGTTCTGGTACAGTCCATGGATATCTGAGAAGGATCACTTACAAAGTTGAAGCCATCAACATCGGCCTCGTTTATCCAGGCCTCAAGGCCATCAGCCACCTGCTCTGCTGTACCGACAATGATGGGACCGTTACCACCGATGGAAACGTGCTCTGCAACGGTGTGCTTTGTCCACTTTGAGCCAGGCGGCGAGAACCTGGCGTAGGCGTCCACCGTCGACCTGAACCAGTTAACACTTCGTTCACCTCACCTCTCAACGGGAGGAAACAAACTCACCTCACAGCATTGCTCTCAACCTCTCTCAACTCCTCATCATCGCCATACTTGCTCAAATCCATGCCCGTCCAACCCCCAAACAAGGCCAACGCACCTTCCGTGCTCGCATACTTCCTGTAATCGGCCAACTTCTCCTTCGCTTCCTCTTCCGTCCTACCCAGAATCGGCGTGACCAGACTCAAGACCTTGATCTTGTTCCCATCTCTTCCAAACTTCTCCCGGGCCAACTGCCTCACCTCAGCAATATTCTTCGCACAAACCTGCGGCGCGTGCGAGCTCACAAATATGGCTTCGGCGTGCTGCGCCGCGAAGAGCTTGCCGGCTTTGGAGGTTCCAGCCTGCAACAGAAGCGGCACTCTTTGGGGAGTGGGCTGTACAATCGCCGGCCCGGGAACGGAAAAGAACTTTCCCTCGTGGTTGATCTGCCTCACAGCCTCCGGGTCGGTGTACACTCCCTTCTCGCGATCCAGCACAACCGCGTCGTCCCGCCACGAGGACGCAAAGAGCTTGTACATCACCCGCAGGTACTCCTCCGCTTGTTCGTAGCGCTCATCATGCGCCACTTGCTTCTCTCGCCCAGCGATATTCCGCGCTGCGCTGTCCAGGTAACTTGTCACAATGTTCCAGCCCAATCTGCCGTTGGTCAAGTGATCAACCGTCGCCAGGCGGCGGTGCAAATGATACGGCGCTTCGTAGCTGGTGCTAACAGTGACGCCAAAGCCGAGGGATTTCGTCGCGGCCGCCATGGCGGGGACTACCGACAAGGGCTCGTTGACGGGCCATTGCGCGCCGGAGACGATGGCGGGGATAAGGGAATTCCGGTAGACGTCGTAGCCGCCGAGGACGTCAGCGATGAAGATGCCGTGGAATTTGGCGGATTCGAGAAGTTTGGCGAGCTCGACCCAGTGTTGGACGGAAGTGAAGTTGTGGGACTGATCGGAGGGATGGCGCCAGAGGCCGGGGGATTGATGGCCGGAGCCTGTTGGCGGATGTCAGTTGATTGGTCTCATGGTAGACGTTGGTGTTCAAGGTGAATACAGGGTTAGTGATGGCAAAGTGAAGTTGAAGTCACATCGACCCGGTCATCCGCTTCATGTTCCAGGTGTTGTTTGTTTTCCTGCTCCATGATTTACAGCGCGGAAAAGGGGTCAAGTAGGCCGGAGTGGGTCATGGAGTGAATAGCCGACTTACACATTTCGACGAAGGCATTGATGATGAGCTTCTTCTTGGGCCTAGTTTGGCCTGACTCGCCTGTTTGGTTGGACATGACTGCTGAAGTGTCTGGTCTCAGTGAATGGAGTGTGAGGATTTGTTTCACTTTGCGCACAAGTGGCTATTGATGCACGTCGTTGAAGTCACTGAAATCAGAGATAGCTGTCGTCGCCAAGGGTTTCCGAAAAAGGGGTTTGTTGACTTTCACCAGATTCAAACACAACAAACGATCAATGACGACGACGACCAAGGCGATTCGCCACTATAAGGGACACCCAAACTGCTTTACCAAGACGCTATCAATCACTCAAGGATGTCAAAGAGTGTCGTGATAGTCGATATTGCTACCGTGTTGCCGAGTTCGTTACTGGTGTCGTGCTCGAAAACGGTTGCCCGGGAGTGGTGGCGATTGCGTGATTGACGCGGGGATGGTGCTCATCAGCACGGCAGCAACCCCGACCTCTCGCCAAGTGCTTCATTGTTCCTGACACTACAGTCCAATGCTGGTTTGTTTGTTAGCTTGGTACTCCTGGTATATTGGACGATATCCATCCCGAATTGTCCCAAACCTCATAAGGACAAATTGAATGGCTAAGTACGGATCGAGAAGGCATTAATAAGATTCGTCAAGGCATATTCAAGGTGAGATTACGCTTTGATCATGGAACGAAACGAATCAATTAAATGTAAAAAGGCCTAGGGAAGTTGACCAAAGGTCTCGAGCTAACAAAAAAACCAGTATTGGACTGTGCAACCCGCCCTAACCCATTGTCAGATTTGCTAGGCTCACTTGTACGGCGATAGCATCTTTGTAATGATACCCGAGGGATTCATGTTGGCGCTGCCGACGGGACATTGACAGCCATCACGGCCCCCCCTTGCGCTTTTGCCCCTGCTCCCGATTATCGGTACCCGTTCTACCGTTGGCGATGATGGCACCAAGAGCAAGAGTGGGGGTCCATTGTCCTTCATACCAGAGTGAGACTGCCTGAGCTGCAGAGCTGCAATCAAGGTGGGCAACGGGCTGTGGTGGTTGCCCAACGGCAGCCTTTGGCTCTTCCCAAGAGATGCACACATCAATTGAGTCGAATCCGACTGAGATGGCGTAATTGAACACTAGACCGAATTGTCTGGCACTCGACGGAGATGGTCCGGAGTGTTCGTGTTGGATTCGATTTGTTCAATCGGTGGCTAGTTCCCTTCTGGCAGGGCCGTCGATTTCCCCGTCAGTTTCAGAAGGTTTATAAATTCTTTTAACTTTCGACCCTTCATGTTGTTTGCTACAGTACAACAAGTCAAAAAACCAGAAACAACGAGCCGGAAGTCACGCAGGTACCAGTACTGTACTCCGACGCACTACTTAAACACTACTCAATTGCTACACTTCGACCCTGGATGACGCAAGCACCTTGAGCCGCGACTTGAGCAACATCATGTCTTTCATCAAACGTTTGTCCCTGCAGAAGCTCCGCAAAAACAGCTCGTCACCTACGAAAAACGTCCAACAGCCGCAGGCACAGCACGTTGAACAGCAAGAGCAACTACCGGAAGACGACATTGTCATCGGCAGCGGCATCAACGGCACGAGTACCACAGACATGGAGCCTCTACCGACACCAGAGGAGCAGACAGTGCTCTTGCTGCACGCGGCAAAGCAACCATACCAGCTCACAGAGGACTATCCCGTCCCACAATTAGAGGGGGAGCACGATGTTCTTGTGAGGACACAGGCCATTGGGCTTAATCCCATTGATTGGAAGGCACCGTGGGTTCACATCGTCCCATGTTTGGGAGGAAATGACTGCTAACACTCATGAAGTGACTTCAACTTCGCCATCCCTGAACTACCATACATCTCTGGTCGTGAGTTGGCAGGTGAAGTTGTTCAGACTTCGAGGAAAGAGTCGAGGTTTAAGCCACGGGATAGGGTATGTCGCTTTCATCTCATCCCATCTTCATCTCACCTTCATCTCCCTTACCTTACCTTTCATCCCGCCCCATCGTCTTATCCCGTCAAGGTCTCATCCCATGGTGCACCACTAACACCCCTTAGGTCCTTGCCATCTCCACCGACTACCGTGACCTCCGCAAAGCCGCCTACCAACAATACGTCATCTCCTTCGACTACAACACCGTCCGCATCCCACCCTCCCTCTCCCCTGAAGAGGGTTCCACTCTCGGCGTTGCCTTCGTCGCTGCCGCCCTTTCCCTCGGCGTGTGCATGGGCGTTGACTTCTCCTCCATCCTCTCCGGCCCTGATCTCTTCTCACTTCTCCGCTCATCCGTACCTCAGGAGTCCCTAGCAGAGGACATCCGCTCCGAATGCCTGGACGGGATTCGTTCTCATGAGAGGGCCAAAGCAGGGGATTGGGTTGCGGTATGGGGTGGAAGTTCAACAAGTGCCAACCTGACGATTCAGTTGGCGAAGCTCGCGGGATTGAAGGTCGTGACGACAGTGGATAAGGCGAAGCATGGCCTTAGGCTATCGAACCATGAAGTACTGAAGGCTGACTTGCTGGTGGACAGCCACGACCCTGAAAGGGCGGTGCAGATCATCCGCCAGAACCTCAAGGGCAAACTCCGCTTTGGCGTGGACACCCGCGGTCGGGAATCTGCTACTTCGCTGCTTCACGCCCTTTCCCCCGATAACATCGACTCTCCTCCTCTACCAGCCGGCGAGGCGCCACCCTCCCCGCCGGGTACACCCAAGGAAGAGACCCTCCTGGGAGCGCACTTGATTGGTCTTACTGGTCTGCCGAAGCAGCAAGCACCTGAGGGAACCATGTTCCATACGGTGCCGATCAAGCTGTTTCATGAAGTTCCCGAAGTTGGTGGGGCGTTGTGTCAGTGGTTGGAGAGGCTGTTGGCAGAGGGGTTGGTGAAGGCACCAGAGATTATTGACGTTGAGCAAGGGTTGGAGAGTATCAACAAAGGACTGGATAGGATGAGGAGGGGAGAGATTAGTGGTGGTAAATTGGTAGTTAGGGTTGCTGAATAGGCTGGGGTGAACGTGATCTGATGGGGCTTGAGAGGAAAGTGAAGGTCTGGACGGATTGGCATTTGATTTGGGCTTAATTGTAGTGGAAACTGCAGGGATCTTTTAGGTAGTCTTTATTTCTTTTGGGTACTTTGTACATAGAAGTTACCTACCTCTAGGTTTGGAATACCATATTTGTCAGTATAGAGGTATCAACTGCTTTGTACCTGTGAGCCTTAAGCACCGCATCTTCAGGTTCGTTGGCTTGTGATGGTAGAACCGTTTGGTGGAAGAGTCACCATCACTTCGTGCAAAGTGAAAGAGCTTGGGGGTCGGTGTTCGATGAAAGGAATGTGCATGATATAGAATACCTATCTAGGTAAGGTACCTTCAGCAAATACACACATCATCGGGGATTTCGTTTGACCCGTACGTAGAGGTACCTTACAAGAAGCATTGTACCGGTTTCAAAGAACGATCAAGGCATTACAGGTGGAATGAAACTGGGTTGGCAGCGAAATGTTGCGTTTGAACAGATTATATCAACGAGAACTGCCTAGTCTAGGGATATCTTTGTGTAGCATCCTCTCTCATCAAGCCTTTACCGTCTTTTCATTACCTGCCTCATCACCCGAACTTGTTTTCGAGCTAATGACGCCCTTCTCATTCATTCGGTCAATAATCGCCGGATATGATTCGTCTCCAACCAAAGGCCTATGAACGCCGAAGTGTCTGAGCAGATGCCAAGCAGGGTAGATGGCCACTGCCCAGATGGCAAAGCTCATGTACACACCGCCAGCCTCAGTGAACAAAGTCAAAGACTCCAGTCCGTAGCTGAGAGCCTCCCAAGCGGACTCAGTACCGCGGATGAGGGCAGCATAGCGGATAATCTCCTCATCGCTCTCGGCGATGTTGTGAACGATGAAGTACCTAGCACAATGCTGTTAGCCCAAGACCCAAGAAGAAAAAGAACCGGGAGGAAACTCACAAAAACAAATAGTTGAGTTGAAAGCCCATGGCCAGAAACACAAACACTCCAAAAGCCGCTCCAAACCCAGGCGTCGTCCAATCAAAAGTCGGCTTCGTCTCCTTGAACCTCGTCACCAACACCGTCGCCCACGTCCACCACGCGCCCTGGATGATCACCAGCGTCCAGAACGCCACTCTGCTTCTGATCTTCAACGAGATGCTATCCCGATCCAACCAGTACCCCAGAATATTTCCGCCAATAACGGGAACAATGCCCGACATCAACGACCCCAGAGCCCGCGAACGGACAGAGAACCACATGGCCAAGTAGGTGAAGAAGACGGACTCGGAGAAGACGGCGTTGCCGATCCAGAGGAGAAGGAGAAGGAACTTCTTGGTGAAGAAGAGCTTGGTGGTAGCCTTAATCTCCAACCATGGATTCTGGGTGATCGTCAAGTCCACCTTCTTGCCGTCCTTGCGTTCTACCTTGTCGGGACTGTTGAGCAGGAAGCCGATAAACGGGCCAGTAGCTTGGATGGCGATGAAAACTAAGAACACGGTATAAGACACCTGGCCGGCTTGGTCGTTGCTGGCGTTGAGACCGAGGTTGATGGCACCGCCTAGCATCTGAGCGAATAGCTTGAAGGAGAGCCAGTAGCCCAAAGCCTTGCCACGGTTCCAGGGCTCGGGGTAGGCGATGGCGATGGAGGCTTCGGCGGCCCAGAAGACGCCGGCCGAGATACCGCAGAGGGCGGCACCGAGGAGGACAAGCCATTCGTTGCCGTAGCGGTTGTTGGTATAGAGGCCGGCGGCGAAGGGGGCGTAGCCGATGCTGTGGGTGTGTTAGAAAGGGGATGATACTGGGGAAAATGTGGGGAGGGATATACCAGCCAAAGATCAAAGCACCCCTGACACCAATAAAGTACATCAACGCACTGGACAGGTAGCTGGAGAGTACCATGAGACAGAAAGTGATGGCGTTGGCGGCGTTGATGAGATTAGGAGAAGCGGCTCCGCCTGCACCGAGGGAGTTCATGGCGGACCAGATGCCAGGGCAGGAGAAACTGCAGAGACCGACTATGGTAATGTTGAACATTGATGACCGGTACCATTTTACTGTAAGACGGTGTTAGTGTTCCATTCCAATGCTGAAGAGACAGAAAGATGGAGCTTCAACTGGACATACCTGGATGTGGCTGGTCTTTTTGAGGTTCGACTTCACTCATATCCCGGTGCGGCAAGCCGGGAGGGAACTCGTCTGAGAGACCGGAGGACACCATTTTGTCGGCGTTGTGTATCTGGTCGTCCTGCTGTTGGAAGTCTGTGGGACAGACGAAGAGGATCAAAGCTCTGACACAATGCTGTAAAGACAAAAGCCAAGGTCTAGCTTGAGATGTAAACATCCCAATGTATTTATCCCTTCCTCCTTTCACCTCCCTACTCCCCTTCCTCCACTGCCGTATAATGCATGGCATGCACGAAAATCCTGCCCCTCCATGTTGCATCACCAACGATGAGCTACAATCCCACTCTGATTATGAATTGTGGACTTCACGTTGCAGACCGCTGAAAGTCCCGGTCTGGTTGATGTTACAGTTCAGTTCGTCTCCGTGCTGTCTCCGTGGAATCGGAGAGGTCAGCTTGCCAAGATACGCGGCTCACAATGGCAGACATGGACGGTGCCAATCCGCCCTAGAAGGGTTGGTCAACCGTGTTGCAAAAATGCCAGGGGAGCACGCAATAGGGGTTTAACTCTACTATAGTGAGGACTAGTACCCTTTCCGTCTCTTTCACCAGAGACTGGGTCAAAAACGTGCTTGAGTGCTTCGAAGATTGTGGATTGCAGGATTACAACTGTGATTTGCAAATGGGATCCGCATTTGGTGAAAGTGATGAGTGATGGTGTTGTTGTTGGGGGTCATAAGTTTGTCTGGACCCTGGAACTCGAGATGTGCCTGGGTAGAAGGGTGTCTTGTCCGAGAAGGAGCCGGTTTCTGTGATATTATGGGTAATAATCGATATGGGTTCAACGTGGCTTGATTGTGTGTATGTGTGTAAGACTGGCTCTGTAGACTCGAAGCTCTAGCATTTGGATAAATCCCGTATATCCTAGCCCAATTGGGCACGTACACGCCTAATAGATCACCTAGCCTCTAACACACCCCCTTAAATCTAATATACAAACTACGTTAGATCTACTTAGATATACCCTAAAATGCCCTAAAATCCTCCTAAAACTAGCTAGAAATAATACTATTCCCAAATTACTTCCTCGTTACAATAGTTTTTAAACTTTTATTCGTAAGAATTTTACTTTATTATATTTACTATTATATTTACCGATTTATTATTTAAATCCTCTTCTATAGAATCCTCTATACCCTTCGGGCGGCCTATAGCGATATTTCTGCTACTAAGCTTTCGCAATTGAATTTATAGCCGCTATAATTCTACGAATCCTAATTGCTCTATAAATTTTAAATATATTATAGGAAGGAAGCTCTTTATAAAGCTATCCACAATCTACTTTTTAGTAAGTACGTAGATTACGTTTACTAATTTCCTTTTTGATATTTACTTTAATTAATATTTATATATATTAATATATTTGAGTTTGGTTACGAACCGAATTCCCTACTTTATGATAAATCGTATCGTTTGTTTATTATTATAGTTTATAGGCGTAGCCTTTTAATTTTCGAATCTTAAAGTAAATTTATTAAAGAAACGGCGGACGTAAATCATTTCTTTAATTCTTTAATTAAAGGATAGTAATTTAACTTTTATAAATAAAATTATAATTATATTATACTTATTAATATACTAATTAATAATAGCGATTAATAATTTAAATATAAATATTTATAAATTCTTTGGATTAAGAGAATTGTTTGTAAATAAAGAATTAATTATAATATAAAAGTTTTAGCAGTCTTTACTATTTAATTGAAGGGTATAATTCTAAGTTATTAGAAGGTAGAGGAGTATTCTATTTATAATTATATAATATACTAGATTAGGGTTTAAATTGAATTGAGCGAATCTAGAAATTGGGAAGGCTATATTTAGTCGTAACGTAATAGCGATATAGAGAATTGAATTGATTTTAATTTAATATACATAAATTTCGTACGGGGCTACGCTATTTTAGTAAAATAGGAATTCTTCCTTAATTATAGGCATAAAAAATAATTTCTTTATATATTACCTTTCTCCGCGATTTTTTAGATATAATTGCGTTGTAATAGTTAAATTAGCTTTTTTTCTCGGTTTCGAATAATTTCAATATTTAGGAATTATTTTAGTAGCTTTCTATCTATTAATTAATATTTCCTTTCTATAGCGGTTATTATTCCTTTAGTTATAGCGATTTCTTTATTTTTATATTTATAAGTAATAATAATCTTATTAACGTAGAAAAAAAGGAATATATTATCTTTAATTAAGATGTTAGGCTTTATAAGGAGAGGGTTTATATTTATAATTACGAAGGTTTTAGGAAATTCCTCCTATTAGAGGAGGGGAGATTTTTATAGATTATATAATATACGTAATAATTAAAGTATTTAATTTTTGTTAATATACTTAGGGGGAACCCTTATAAATATTACTTTATTAAATATAGTATTAATAAAGGCGTTCTTTATATTATACTAAATTAAATCGAAATTGAAGTAAGCGGCTATAGTTATTAGGATATAAAACGACCTAATAGTTAAAATTGCTACGTATATTTTATATACGATATTTTTAAATTTATAATTAAACGTAGTTCATATTTAAAAAACCGGCCGTTTTGGTCGAATTTATAAATATATATTTATATTGAAATAAATATTTCGTTATTTCCTATTTTCCTAATAGTAATGTATTTTTAAAATCTTTTATTTTTATATTCGTTTAGGTATTCTTTTTTAATAATTTTAAAGATTTTTCTAAAGGGATAAGAGTTAAATCTATTATAGTACTTTGGAAGAGGTAGGAAATTAATTCAATAGAAAGTCTTTAATATACTTTTTATTTTATAGCGGTTAATAATTTCCTTCGTTATTTTTGATTTAGGATTGTAATTAGGGTCGATATTGATACTCCTCTTTTTTATTTCTTTTAAGAAGGTTTAGTTTACGATTTTATTTCTCTAGAATTTTATTAATCGATTGCATTTTGTAAATAAGAACGATATAGCTTAGTAAAGGTATTGATTTAAAATTGGCTATAAATTTTCGTTAGAATAAAAGAGGTCGGTTATTAGAAATGCGGTTGGGCTTTTAGGAGGTATAGGGAGATAGCCCTCTTTTTTATCCTTTAAGTTTAAGATTGTATTTTAGAAATCCGACGACGATTGTACAAGCGGCGATAATAAAAGCTTTAGAAATCCTTATAGTATTTTTAGGCTTATTTACAATTATATTTTTGGACACTTTAATTACTCTTTTTCCCTTAGTATATTTTCGGTCTCGATAGGAAAGTTTTAGATAATAGGGCTAGGAATTCCGTTATTTACAGTAGGTATAATTTCGATTTATAGGACGTTTATTTACGTAATATCTATTTAATAAAAATATCTTAAATATATAGCTAAATCTTTAAGGGAAATATTAAGGGTATTATAAATTTCTTTAATACTATTACTAGGAAAGATTTTATTTTTATTAAATACACGATTTATATAATAATAATAAAATTAGTATAGGGGTTTTAAATCCTATAAATACTTATTAATTAGTATTTAATTCAATAGCCGACCTAAGCGCGGTCTTTAACCCTAACCCTCTTCTCTAACGCCCTTAACGATAAAAAGAAATAAAGAATCTATATTAATAGTAAAATTAATATTTATACTAACTATTATTTATTTACTAATATAATTAATAACGCTTCGCCTATTTATAACGAACGTCGCGAAATTATAATTAATAATTCTTAATAATTATTATAAAATATTATACTCTCTTAGTAGATTAATACCCTATTTTATACCGAACGTAATAATTTTATAGTAAATTTAGCTATATTACTAACGCTTTATATTGTATTTTCGGTATTAAATTAAATTAAATATAAAAGTAATTCGATACGAATAAATTTACTATCGAAATATATATAAAAAACGATTAGGCTTTGCGCGATTTCTCTACGGAATTATTTAAATATGTTTATTTATAAGGTAATAATACTAATTTTTAATTTTATACTTATTTTTAAAATAATTTATATTATAAATTAAGGTTTTACTACGCTAAATTTAGTAAAGGTTATTCTATCGGTCAATATATTAATACCGTTAAAAATCCTTTTTAGTTATTTATAGTAAATTCCTAAATTTTACTAAAGGTCCGTATTTAATTCATTTCGGTATTAATAATACTAACGATATAACGGAGAATAACGCTATAATGGCTATCTATTCTAATTTTTAGGGAAATAAGGATAGTAATAAACATTTTTTCAACAGAAGCTTTCAATTTAATAATAATAATTTTATTAAGAAAGGTAATACGAAACTTTACTTTAATAATAAAGGATTTAAGAAGTTTAATAATAAATTTAATAAATACGATAGTAATTGTTTGGGTAATAATAGTAATCGTAATTATCGTTAGGGTAAAAAATTCGAAAAGTATTATTATTTTAAAAATAATTATTATACTTACGTTAATTCTATAACCGTTTTTATAGATAGTTTTAATATTAATAATAAAATTTATTACTTATAGAACGAAAGTAACTACTTTATAAATAATTTCGAACAAGACATAATTATATTTAATATAAAGATTTCTATTATTAAATATAATAATAAATTTTCTATTCATTTTACCGGTTCTTTAACTCCCTTTAATATTATATTTTCGGATATCCTACTATCCTTTATTTTACCAACCTTATTTTTATTAATTCCGGCTATTATTATCGACGCTATTCCTGTTAAAAGTACTAACTTTAACGATTACATTATACTCCTATTACTAAATTTATTATCCGATTCTAATTTTATAATACTTCTTAAACGCTTAGAGCTAATTCAAACGTTTAATAAATTATTTAATCCTTCGTTTAAAAATCGAATAATAACTACCGAAAGCTTTTAGGCTATATTAAATTGGGTTAGTAAAGTAAAGGAAGTAAATATTATATTAAAATTATTAATATTAGCCGACGGACGGAAATTGAAATTATTAGAAGTATAATATAAAAAGTAATATTATTTATTTACTTTTATAGAAGGGTAAATAATTAAAATCATCCTAAATATCGCTTTATAAAATAGAAAATTAAA